TCCCTCTTACTTGGAACACTGAACCTCTTGCCATTTTCTGAAGCAGTGCTTGAAAGTCTTTTGTGACTACTTGAGCTGTTACAGCTGTCTCAATGTGTCAATATATACAAAACTTTTCTCTTTCATGGTCCTTTTGACTTTGTAGCCGAGCTAGAAGTCACACAGTGCTAGCTCTGGTGATAAGGGGGATGAGGGCAGAGCGTCATGGTTTTTACAAGCCTGCCTTCTCGTTGGATGGCACTCAGCAGCAGCAGTCGCAGTATTTTTGATCATATCTCTTCGGAAGGTGTCAAAAATGATGAGTCTGCTTGAAGCAAGGGAGTGTGTTCTGAGTGGGGCGAGTGGCAATGTGTCTTTAATGTGACACAGTTTCCTTACATAGCTATGCCATCTTCATAAGCAGCAATACTAAGCGTTTCTGAGCGTCACGGTCTACCCACCCCACGTCAGTCTCTTCTAACACACAATAGTCTCTCCCTTTTACCCTCATGCCTTCATCCTGCTGAAGTAACCACCAGGTCAGCTGTCTTCTAGAAGGTCCTACATTCTGGATTAGGTTTTTTTTTTTTTTTTTTCTATTTTTAGTTTACTCTTATATTTTCTATGAGCTTGAGTTTAAATTCAGGCTCACCTCTGCTTTGTACTCCATACTACATCCCATCTCAAAGCATATAATGTACAATGGTCCCATTTTTAGTTGGCTCAGTTGATACCAACCTGAATTCCCTACTTTAAAGAAGTTCATCGACTTTACATTGATCTTAGCCTAAATCAACAATGTCATTATGATCTTCATGTTACAGTCTGTTTATTCTATTATTCCTTCCACACAGATAAAAATTTTAAAATAGCTTGTCTTCAACTCCCATATACACATAATGGTTATTGTCCTATATAAAAGTAATCATAAAAGGCCAGATTACATGAAGGCATTTATAAATAAATAGTACAGTTCACAGCGCCAGTCATTCATAAGATTTTTCTGTACAACCTTACTAATAATTGTTCATGGAAACTCTCACCATTCTTGGAAACCAATTATCTTCTGCAATTATTTTTTTGGCAAGAGGTTTGCAATTCCCCAATTCAAGACAGTCATTCAGTTCTCCTTGCTGCTGATTGGCTGTTGCGTTGTATCCCATGTTTCCACATTCTAACAAGTTGCTGGACCACATGCAGCTAGCTATCTCAAGTTCTCGGTTTTGTTCTTAAACTCCTAAGATGCTGCTAAAACACCCTGCATCTAAGGCTCTACTGACAGTATTTTACTAAGTTAAACCATATATCTTCAGGACACATCGCCTATTCAGGGTTCAACCTATAAAATTAAGAATTATAGGCATTTTTCTGGTCATATCTGAAATTGCAGTATTTCACAATTCATAGATGTTCTAGGATGTAATCCCTGGGAATTTCACCAATCCACTGTACTTTGTAAACTTAAGTAATGATTTCTGGAAAAGTGAGAGAATCTAGGTTCAGGAAGGTCATGCAGTGGAGGAAATTTTAGAATATGTAATTCTGGGCTGGGGATTTAGCTCAGTGGCATAAGTGCCTGCCTTGCAAGCACGTGGCCGTGAGTTCAATCCTCAGTACCGCCAAAAAAAAAAAAAAAAAAGAATATGTAATTCTAGGAGTACAAAAGTTTCTATCTATCCAAGGTTCAGTAACTTAGAAATTTTAAGGAATCCTGAAGAGGATAAATGCTGGAAGCTGGCTAAAATGCTACTTAACAAGTTATCTAGATGGGGTCAAGTAATCTTTACCAGTCAATTGATAAGCTATTTAAGTAAATATGAAATAGGGAGTTCCAGGAATCTCAAATCATTAGCAGCCCATAGTGGAAAATGTGAAAGGCCAAACACTGAATTACGGCTTTTAAGAATAGTTAGAAGAGACTTGCGATTTAGCTCAGTGGCTCAAGCGCTTGTCTGCTAAGTGCGAGTTCATGAGTTCGATCCCTGGTACCAAAAGAAAGAGAGAGAGAGAATAGTTGGAAAAGCCCTTAAGAAATGTCCTGACTTCTCTTTAATTTTCTCTTTGTTCTCTCCAATGAAGGAATCAAATGATCTTTTTTTTTTCTCATCAAGGGAAAAGTAACCAAGGTGGGAAACTCTTGAAATATTAGTTTTGGGTTCTTTCCACTCAATTGCTGTATGAACAATGATGCTGGTGAACATGTATGCTAGTTTCCAGTGGGCAGAAATACATCTGATGTAACCTAAGGGAGGTGAAGTGTATTTTATTCCTCAGTTTCAGTCCATGGTTGGCTGGCTCCAAGGCAGAAATGGCAGGGAGAAGGGCATGACAAAGGAAAGCTGCCCGTCCCATGGCAGCTAAGCAGCAGAGCGAAGGGAGGAGCTGGAGACACGAATCCCCTTTCAGGTCACGCCCTCAGTGACCACCTGTTCTGTCAGGTCCCACCACCTAACTGCACAGTGAGCTCTGAAGTCTTCAACACATTAATCCACAGGGAAGTCTGGCGTTCCTACCATGCAATCTCTGAATGCATGAAACTCTTAGGGAACATTTTGGAACTAAACCATAACAACATGTGGGCACAAATCTCTTCAAGAACATGTTTTCAATTCTTTTGGACAAGGATCCAACAACAGAATCACATGACAGTTCTAATTTTGTGAGGAACTATCACAATATTCTCCATAGCAACACTGTACCATTGTAACAATCTCATCACCAAAAGTGTACCAGGGTACTAATATTTCCACATCATCCTCAGAATTTGTTTTGTTTTAAAAGTAGTTATCCTACAGAAAACAATACTCTTATATAGCCAGGGCCCAGAAACATGTAGGAGTAGCTATTCTAATATCTCATAAGGTTGATTTCAAACCAAAACTGATAAATTTGTAACAAAGACATACTGATAATGGGAACAATTCACCAGAAGAGGTAATGGCTATAAATATATATACAGCGAATGCTGACATACATTATTTCATAAAACAAAAACTACTTGATACACAAGGGTAGATGACTATAATACAATTGTAGCAGGGGGCTTTAATATTCCACTGTCACAATAGCTCAACAAGACAAAAAAAATTTTAAAAATATAAGAGTTAAAAGACACTGCAGAATAAATGAATTTAGCAGATATTTGCAGAGTGCTTCATCTGTTATTACAGCAGATTATATATTCTAGTCAGTTGCCCATGGATCTTTATACAAAATAGACCATATTTCAAGCCACAGAGCATGTCTCACTAAATACAAAAGAAATTAAATAATCTCTTACAACTATCAGATCACAATAAAACATAACTAAACATCAACAGTAAAAAACAAGAAACAAAACAAAAACCATGCAGACTATACAAACACATAGAGATTGAATATTTCTTGAATGATCAATGGATAATAAAAGAAATTTGGCAATTTAAAATTTCTAGACTCAAATGATACTGGAAATATGACAACAGAATCTGCCAGACATAAGGAAAGCAGTTCTAGGTATGAAATTCATCATGTGAATGCCTACCTTAGAAAAACAGAATAAACAATTCATTCTACAATTTTGGATGCAAACTGAATCCAATTTCCCCATTACATTCAATGTCACACAATGCAGAGCTGGCAAATGGTAGCAAAATTTTGCTGAACACCTCTGTTCACAAACTGAGGTGTTACTCTATGTAATTTGATGACACACTGTGTCAACTTGAGAAGTTCAGAAGCTTAACTAAGTCAGCTCAGCAATTCTATACCCGCAATGGCACATGCCTGGATGGTACCAAAGGGAAATGAGGACAGACTTGCTTCTGCTCTTCAGAGGAGCACCAGTCCTCGCCTTCTGCCTGGAGGTCATCTCCTGGCTGCCAGCACAAACTCTCTGGCTTCCACCTCGAATCCTCTATCCTTCCGGCATAGACTCTTCAGCTTTCCTTCAGACTCTTCTGCCTTTCAGCAGACCAACAGACCTCCTACTAGCTTTAGTGATCCTTTAAAATTTCAAGTAAGATTATGTGCACTTCTTTCCAAATAATTCCAGAGACCTACCAGGTCCTGCCTAATCTTGTTTGTTCTCTAATTTCATCTCTAACCAGCTTCCCCTTCCATTTACTCAGCTTCAGGCACAATGGCCTTATTATTCCTCCTCACACAAAATGTTCCTACCTCAGGACCTTCGTATATGCTGCTCCCACCACGGAAGACACTTCTCCATACTTCCACATATAGCTCCCAACATCAACACCTTGAGAAATGTCTTCTCTGACCCTTATACTTAAAATAACAACACATACACCAACACCACAGTTGTCTTACATCCTCTAACTGGACTTCCTCTTCTTTGTAGTTCTTTCATCATAGTACTTCACATATCACATGATTATTATGTGCATTCCCTCACTAGAATTTAAGCGCAATTAGGACAGGAGCTGTTTTGTTCATGACTGTATGCCTAGAGCCTGGCATATAATAAACATCATACGTCCTCAAATATTTGTTAAAATTTAAAACACAGGGTCTGATTTATTATGAATCTATGCATTTATGCATTTTAATTTTTAATTAACATATTACAGTGCTCTGTTGAGGTGTTTTCCTTTTGTCCTAATTTCTGAATGTGTTTGAAAACAAGTCATAATAAAATGTATGTTCATATCACTTCCAACTCAAAATATTTCATGAGTTTCTACCACCTATAGAAAAGTCTACCCTTCTTGGAGGATCTGAGACACGCCACACTGGGGCCAACCTGCCTCTCCAGACTCTTCTAAAGTCTTTTCCCCAGCAAACCTTGCCAAATACACATGAGTCCACACCACTGTTTATACCCTTCAATGAGTCAGAAACGCTGTTTTTTTATTTAGCTCGTTTTAATACTATCCAATTTTCAAGGCTTGGCTTAAAAGCTTCCACCTAGCAGCTGTTGTGCCAAATGCCCTGGATTAGCATGGTGCTTTGCACACATCAATGGCCTAAGAGAACTTCACTGACTTCTGGCAGAAGTAGCTTTGAAGCAGGACGTAACTCACCATAGTCTGGCTCAGTGTCACTGGTGCTGTTCCCATCACTGCCTTTCGAAAGCATCTTTCTCTGCTGTGCTGTAGCTCTAGGTGTTTTTCTTTCCCCTCGAACATCACGGGCATCGCCTTCCTCTGTAATCTGGTTCAAATCTTCAGGAGACACAAATCCCAGTGAAAGCTTTCTGTGGAAATCCATATTCCCAGAGGCATAGCAGACTCGCCAGCATCTGCTGCTGCTCCTCGCTTAGCTCTGCCGCCCGCCCCGCTCCAGTCCCGGACTACACAGCCTAAGCTGGTTCTGCCCCAACACATGGGCACCCTGACAACTGTCTGCTTGGAAGGAGAAGCCTAAGACTCAGACACAGAGCATCTTTCCCCAAGAATTTTCACAGCGTAAGTGGGAGATGAAGGCCCTGTCTTAGTGGTCAGCTGCAGCAGACTAGAAGCTGCGGTGGTGATTAAGAAACTAGGTTTGAGGTCGGAAAGAAACAGACTAAGACAAAAAGGAACAAAGGCCAGGTGACGAAGAGAGTCCTGACATACTTAAAAATCTCAGTTTAGCTATGGTTCCAGGAATTTAAACATTTAAAAAACCAGTATCGTGGATAAAATTATTAATATAAAAAACTTACCTAAACAATTACCAGCTACACTGCAATTTGATATATGCAGAGACTTATTCATTGTTTCTGGTTTACCTCTGTCATGTTTTGCAATGCCTAAATGTAAGGAAGAAGAGAATTTAGATGAACGTAGTACTGGGGATTGAACTCAAGGCCTTCACACTGAGCACAGCCTTAGTCCTTTTTATTTTTGAAACTTTGAGACAGGGTCTTGCTAAATCATGAAATTGCCCAAGCTAGGCTCAAACCTGTGATCCTCCTGTCTCAGGCTCCCAGAGTGCTTGGATTATAGGCCTAAACTGTCACACCCGGCATCAAATGTACTTCAGTCAACTGGTAGCCAAAAGTAGATTAGAGATAAAATGGAATAGCATCTAGACACTGACAGATGACCTGAACTCAAACTATCACGATGACTTCTATGGAGAGGCTAGGGACTTGGACTCTAAACTCACATTCACCTTCGGGCTCTGCCCATGCAAACTGTCCTGTCCTCGCATTACGGTTTAGATGGGCTCCTGTGCTGTGGGCTTAGGCTGCACTGCAGCAGTGCTCAGAGCTGGGACTTTGAGGAAGGTTTTAACTTCATCAGTGAATGAAATCCTTTGAGTTCATAGCTCAATGCGTTCAGTAGATGGGAGCTAACTGAAAGCAGCAGGTCACTGGGGGTGGGATGAGGGGGTGGCTCCATGTACTTTGCCCCCAGATTTTCCTTCTCTGGCTGTCTTCCTGTTTCCTGGCTGCCATAAAGTAAGGCATTTTCCTCTGCAAGCCTTTCAGCCATGATGCTCTGCTTCACCTCAGGTGCACAGCAACGCAGTCAGCAAATTGTACACTGAAATTTCTGAAACCATGACCCAAAAGAAAGCTTTCCTCCTTTTGAATTGTGTATGTCAGCTATTTTTCTCACAACAACGGAAAGTTAACTCACCCAAGAGTAGTTTCCTCATATATAGGATTATTACAGGAAATTAAATACCAATCTCATGAAAACTGCTTTAGTACGCTGTCTAACACAGAGGAAAGTCAGTAAATTTTTTTTTTTTTTTCGTTTTTATCGGTACCAGGGATCGAACTCACGACTGCCTGCAAGGCAGGCGCTTATGCTGCTGAGCTAAATCCCCAGCCCCAAAGTCAGTAAATATTAACTGTCACTTCTCTGTAGACAAATCCATTCTTTTATTGACATTAAATTCTCTGTAATCATTACAATAAATTTAAAGTGATCTTTTATAAAAAATTTTATTTTTATTAGTACATATTTGCAGTATATGATTACATTCACTGTGGGGAATTGGTAGATAATCTTAATTCTTTTTATGTGCCCTTTTCTGCCCTTCTCTCCCGAAATGAATCCATTTTAATTAGCTTGTAGGTCATGGTATCAGTTTAATCTTTAGGCTATAAGATGCATTATTCAATGAGAAGTGATACTTCTTAGGAAATATAAGGAAGTATTCTTATTCTCGCTACAAACTGCAATATCTTAGAGATGAATTTCACTTTCAATTTTGGACATACCGCAGTTCTCTTCTGAAGTTTGATTTCTGATAATGAAAATTTCTTCCTCTTAAACAGCAGGAAATACTGACTTAGAAAAATAAACATCCCACTTAGTTCCCTAAGTAACAGAATCTAGGGCAACACAATTTAACATAAAAGAATGTAGGACAATGCAGTTTAATCCAAGAATCATTTTAACAATTTGAGTATATTTTCTAGGAATAATTTCTGTCTCTCCAGAATGTCAGTATTACCATCTGCTTATGACTGCCAGGAAAAAAAAAAAAAAAAAAAAAAAGGAGAAAACCACAGAGAAATCTACAAGTCATTTTTTACAACCATTTGCTTACTAACCTAATTAGTAACTTTAACCTACAAAAACAATAAGAATTACCATCATTAAGTTATGTTCCATTAACTTGGATTTGGAGAAAAAGGAGAAAGACTGTTAGGGTCATCAGATCATCTGAATAAGAAATTAAATATTCACTATACACTGACGTGAAAGAGCATCCAAGCTCACGTTGCATGTCCTTAAGCTCTGCTTAGTTTGAGTGTTAGGCACACAAGTCTCTATTTGTTCGAGATTGACTTGCATGAATAAAGAACTGAACCAAATTGTACTCTGTGCAATTTGTTCCATTAGTTCAAAATATTCATTTTTATTCTTTCCTCTGCAAAGGGCCATTCAAAGAAATTACTACAAAAGGGTTTAAAGATGAGAACATATAGAAAACACCTTACTTTTATCTTGAGACTTCTGCACGCCATTGGTGGCTGTGGGAGTTTCCTTCACTGATAAAGCTAGAGCAGCTTCTAAGCCCCTCTGGAAGATCTTGTCATCTAAGGCCTCCCTAAAACACACAAGCAAGTAATAGTGAATTTTTAAAAATACCAATCTCAAGTCAACAGCAAAACTTGGAAGTTTCCTATATTACTGTTTGAGTTGTTCATCTCAGAGAAGTGTTTTAAAACAATAATCATCATCAACTGACTAGGTATGGTGAAACTCCTAAAACATGTCATGTTACACTACACAGCATATCGGGTTTGCTACAGAAGCAGCGTGTGCCTCTGCCCTTACTGCGCCCTTTAATTGTAATATATCTACTACCAGTTCCATCCAGGAAGCGCTTGCTCCCTTAAGATAGGCTTGTTTTGAACACTGTTCCACTTACAGGTGTTTCTTGACCTCATCTATACTTACAGATATGACAGCCCTTATGTTAATTTTTGAAAAATCTGGTCCTACCAATCCAGATTTTAGCAAATAGTTTATCACATTTACAGAGCACAAGATAACTGCACTAGCTGAATACTAAAAAAGTACCTTCAGAGAGTCTGCAGTATAATGAGGACGGTGGAGAAAGGAGACACACTAGTAATTATCCCATGTAAGTCAGATTATAATCTCCTACTATTCAGGTTTGTCAAAAAAGTGAAAAGCCAAAGGACACGTAAGAAAAAGGTTATGTAAAAGAGGAAGTACTGAAACTCACCTTGAAGGATTTATTTTTAAGTAAGTTTTGTTGAGATATATTTCATATACCCTAAAGTCTGCCTTTTAAAAATGTACAATCCAGCAGTTTTTATTGAATTCAGAGTTGTGAAACCATTATCAGTCCTTTTTTTTTTTAAGATAAGGTTTCACTGTGTCATCCAGGTCTGCCTTGAACTGACTGTGTAATCTAAGGTGGCCCCAAATTCACTGACCATCCTGCCTCAGCATCCAGAGTGCTAGGATTACAGACGTGCACCCCAATGCCTGCTGGGCCATCACACTCCACTTTTATACCATGTTCACTACCTCCCCACCGAAGAAACTTCGTAGTCATTAACAGTCATTACCACTTACCCAGCTCCCAGCTCCTAGCCAACTACCAGTCAAATTATTTCTGTTTGTATGGATGTGTCTATTCTGGGCATTTCAAATAAATGGAATCATAAAATACATGGCCTTTTGTGTCTGGTTCCTTTTACTTAGCATAACGTTTTGAAAATTCATCCAGGTTGCAGCATATATCAGTAATTCATTTCTTCTTGTGATCAAATAATATCCCATTGTAGATACTACGTTTTAAAAAACGTATCCATTCATCAGTTGATAGGCATTTGGATTGCTTCCATTTTTGGCTATTATGAATAACACTATGAACATTCACGTACAGGTTTTTGTGGGGACCTATGTTTTAGTTCCCTTATGCATACACCTATTTATATATAACTTTACACTCTGAGAAACTGCTCAACTGTTTCTCAATTTAGCCGCACTCTTTGGCAATGCATGAGAGCTGCATTTTTTCCATACCTTCATTAGACCTTGTTATTGTCTTTTTGATTATAGATATGGAGCAGGTGGAAAGTATTATTTCACGATGGTTTTAATTTGTATTTCCCTGACAGCTAATGATGTTACACATCTTTTTATATTTACTGGTTATTTGTGCATCTGTGGAGAAATGTTTATTCAAATCTTTGACACATTTTTTACTGTTTACCTTTTACTGTTAACAATTCTTCATACACTTTGGATTCAAGTCTCTTAAATTATATGATTTGCAAATACAGTCCCAGTCTAAGGACTGTAAAAACAAAATGTGCAAAAAATTTAAAGACTATGACATGGGCCGAGCTCTGTGCTACCATTCTACCCATTTCCTCTCCATACTACAAGTTTTGGTTCTCTCAGGACTTTCCCTGACTCTCTCTTTCCTCCTGCACTAGAGACTCCAGGGTTAGACCATGCCCTACAGGATCTTCTCTCTGCTGGGCAAACCACAAGATAAGAAACTATCTTTAATCTGGGAAAAAAATATAAGACTTTAAGTTTTTAAAACTATTCTTGCAAATGGAATTTTTAACAAAATAGTCTTGTAGGATCTGAGGACTGAAGACAGACATGGAGTCTGTAATTATTATTTTAATATTTAAATAAATATTTGCTTTCTTGTTTGTGAGTTTTTCAAGTCAGAAAGGGTTTAATACTATGTCTGTTCTCTGACATGTACTAAAGAAAATAAAATCTATTACTCACCTTAAATTCTAATTCAAACCAAAAGTTTGAAAATATCTCTTTTAAATGAACACAGCTAAGGTCACATTGCCTGTGTCTTACCTCTCACCTTTTTTTAGGAGTTTTCTCTTGTAGTAGCGTGTCTTCTTTCTGGACAGTCTTCAAGGTACGTTTTGGTTTGTCTTGTTTTAACTCTTTTGTTGTTGTTCTAGATTTCTTGCTTAAAGGTATAGTTGCAGAAATAAAATCATCTATTCATGTTTGAAATAAAAATAAAAGAAATAAATCTATTTTCTTAGCAGTTGAAATTTCCTACAGTATGTTCATGTTCTAGAAGTTAGCAAACTTTTCAATTTTCAATTTAAAAATCATTACTGGTGCTATTTATTCTCATTCATCATTTCAACTTTTTACAAAAGAAAAACCATAAAGCCATAAGAAACAATTCTCCATTTTTATCACAGCCAGAAACAGAAGGAAATGATTTTTAATGAAACAAGTTTTTCTTTTTCCTCATGGCACATCACCTATTTCTAATACATTAATCAAGCTAAGCAAAATAAGAAGCATGACAGGGAAAGAGACAGTGGCTCCTTCTGAAGAGTTTCATTTTTAATAACAGTGCCATTTTGTCTGTCCATTCCTATAGGGACCCTCCTGCAAGGCTATAAAAGTAACTTTATCTCTGGATCTCCTTTTCCAGTTATTATTATTTCTTATAAGTTTTTTCTCTCCTACCAGTTCTTAAAACTTGTTGAGTGTCTCATGACACTCAAAATAAAATGTGCTGTGGCCTTGTGTTTTTTTTGGGGGGGGGCGGGTGATGGTAGGGTTGAGACAGGGTCTGGCTATGTAGCTCAAGTTGGCCTCAAACTCATAGCAATTTTCACAGCACCACTGTGACTTTTAAGCATACATCTGACATAGGTATGTATGCATTCTGGACCCATGTCACCTTAATCACATACTTCAGCATTTACTAATGTTTTCTCTTTTGTACTTTCCTACATAGGAATATAATAACATAACTCTGTGCACCTCACACTCTGCCCAAGAGCCAGAACACAAAGAGACAATTTATAAATACTTCATGACAGGCTGGTAAATGTAACAGAAAGCTAGAGATTGTATTTTGCATTACTTTCTCTCAAGTTGCTAAAATAGTTAAGGCTAAGCCCAAAGCAAAGCATTCTTTTGAACCTAGGAATCACTAAAGCATTTAACTTATGCACTTGATGGATGTGTGATGTCCTGGGCTCCACAACCAGCACCACGGAAAGGAAAAAAAAAAGAAAAGAAAAAGAAAAAGAGAAAAGGAAAAGCTATTTCAAAGTATACCAAAGTAATCTGATGTTCTATTTCTTCCTTTTTCTTTTTTGGTACTGGGAATCAACCTGAAGACCTCGAACTTGCCAGGCAGGTGTTTATGTCACTGAGCTAAATCCCTGGCCCCTTGATGTTCTATTTCTGAAACTTCTGGATCGAGGTTCTTTTAATGGCAAAGACAACCATATAATAAATACTGCATAGCTGAAACCTCATTTTTCTGCAAGCTCTTATTCTTTCAGACCTATCTCACATGTGAGATATGAAACATGTATAAAATATTGAAGCTAGACATGTCATAAATACTAAGAAAAGAAGTTTCCCAATCCTGTAAGCAAAAATCAGAGGTCTACTTACCATCACTATCAGAATCCTCAAACTGTGAGTAATTGACTGGTTTCTTATTTCTGTGACCAACATAGAAATTTCTCATTAATACAAAGATCAGTTTCTTACATTTTTTCCTTAAGGATATTAATAGTCTTTAACAAAGAAAACATGGTTAGAATCTCTTAAAAATATTTAAATCTTAAACGTGATTTGATTTTACAGAAGGGACTTGGCATTAGCTGAGAGTTAAACTATATCTGACACAAAAATTCAGGTAACTCATGAAGGATAATATACACAATTAACAATTACCATTGATACACTGTTTATCTGCTCTTGTGTTCTATAAATTCCTGCTGTACATATGTTGTTCTATGTTGCATTCTATCTTATTAAATTATAAACTTTTAGAACAGTGGTGGTGAACATATGACACACATGCCTCAGAGCTGTTTGTATCACTGACCTCTAAAAGGTTACAGACAGTACAGTCACTGGTCCAGATGCTCAAAGCTATGCTTTAAAATTTCTCCAAACTACCAAATAATGTGCTTTTATACAATATACATTTTAAAAAATAGTGAGTGCCTTTGTTCCTGCCACATGAAATGAATCTTTGTATTAGTTTAGAAGCCATCAGAAAAATTTGACTCTCAAAGTGAAAAAAATTTTCTCCTTTCCTCAAGTACTAAATAAAACATTTTCTGATTTTTGTTTGTTTTTTGCCAAATGCTCAAGTGTGAACCACCTAGTTTATCAGTTGATCATTCTTTCAACTAAAAGTGAAGTTCTGTGAAAAGAATGTTAGCTTAGTCCCCAAGTCAATCTCACATGTCCTCTAAGTTAATCATACTATAGTACTCAGAATGTTTCATGTGTACCTCTTACACCCACGTACATGACGCTAAAAAAAGCACACTTATGTTACTTTCCTGTTCTCTGGAGTTAAAGAATTTAAGAACTGAGTAAAATTCAAAATCTCTTAGCAAAAAAGCACCAGGCATGGTAGTACACACCTACAAGCTCAGCACTCAAGAGGATGAGGCAGGAGAATTCAAGGCCAGCCTGAACTACGCAGCAAGACCCTGTCTCAATAAAACCAAACCAAGAAAAATAGCAAATCAAAATCAGTAGCCTATTAAATAGAGAAGTATCTCAGGACTGAAAGAGACCAAGGCAGGAGAACTGCAAGCTGGAGTCTCAGACAGAAACTTGGAAAGACTCTTAAACTCAAAAAGTTTTTTAAAAGGTTGAGGATGTAGCTCAGTGGCAGAGTGCCCTACATTCAATCCTCAGTACAGAGGAAGAGGGAGGAGGAATGGGAAGTGGGGAGAGAGATAACACTCAAGGATTAAGCTACAATAAATAGTTCTAATTCAAACATTTTAAAGTAAAATTAGGATTTTTTTTGAAACTCAGTATGTGCCAGTGAAGAATGTAATGACTACTAGCAGTTTGGTGCCATTGCCATGATTTGTACTAGGGCACCAGAGGTTTCATCATCATTACAGTGCAGATGACAGAACGGTGAAAAGAGCCAATAATGGGTCAGTATTCTAATAAAACGTTATTGGCTTTGTGGAGTTCCTGAGGTTCCAAGAAACCCTAAGGTCTGCAGACCATACTTTTCACAACTGATGTTCCAAAGGGACTATGTCACTATCACTATCTGGAGATTTTAAAATCGATTTCAAACTTAACATGTTGGAAACAGAAATCTCATCCTTTCACATCTTCTAAATCTGTTTTTGTTCCTGGATGTCCTTTTCTTGGTTAATACAAAAATCCAGTAGCTCAGATCTAAAATATAGTCATTTTTACTTTTATTCCCTTTTCTACAAATCCACTTTTCAGCATAACCTCTAAAATACTCATCAAACTCATTTGTTCCATTCAATGTGCACTAATAACCTACCCCACAGCACAGCCCAGTGATAAAAGTCTCCCAGTGGTTTCCCTCTGCTATTGTAGCCACCCCATCTCCCATTCAGTCTCTACAAACAGCAAGTGACCTTTATAAAAGCAAAACCAGATTTCTCACTGGACCCAGAATAAAACCCAAATCCCTTTCTAAGGCCTTGGAGGCCCTACTTGTTCTAGTATCTGCCCATTTATCCGACTTGATTCCCTGCAATTCTCTCCACTGCTTGCTAATACTACAGCTTCAGCCTGCCTCTCAAACACAGTCAGATGAGGGGCTGGGGCTTTAGCTCAGCGGCATAAGCGCCTGCCTTGCAAGCAGGCAGTCGTGAATTCGATCCCCGGTACTGATAAAAAAACACGGTCAAATGTAGGAAATGGCTCTTGTTCCCCTTACCTGAATTAACTAGCCCCTTTAAGATAAGGCTTTCCTCTCTCCCACCATAACTACGATATACATTTTCAGCCTTCCTACATTTACCTTCTCCTAGAATGTAACCTCCAGCACCCAGTACGGTAGATAAGTAAACATATTCAATAGTCTCACTACCTGATTAGCTCACCCTAGGCTTGCAACGTACTCAACAGTGATTAAGTCCAGGCTTCCAAGAGTACAATTGAAAGCCTAGGATCTGGAATTAGATGACTTAGGCTGTGCGACACAAGTAAATCTTGGAGCTTTACATTGATAAAACAGAAATATCTACCCTTTCTGAATCGGGAGATAAACATATTAAATAAGCGGACAATGCAAAGCGGTGTTCAAACGCTAGCATTGCAAGGTCTTATTAGAAGCTGGGTAAAAGAAACGAAGAGAGCTGACAAAGAGTAGAAGCAAAACACTAGGTTCAATAGAGCCACAGGCCCCGCCAGAGACGCCTTGAAAACCGCCCTCCCACTCCACTTTGCGCCCAGTCTCGTGCGCGAGCTGCCTATAGTGTCCTCCTGCTTTTTCTCCCCTCTTTGAGGGATGCATTCATTCCTTACCTCACAGGTCGTACCATGGTTCTCTTCTCTGATTCTGTGCCTCTCAAAGTCTAGTCTACACCAGCGGTGGTTTCAATTCCCGCCTAAAAACAGACAAGGCGCGCCCGCCCCGGTGTCGCCAGCCCTCCAATCGCTGCCCTCCAGCTTATGGAGGCGCATGCGTTCTGAGAAGAGGGCGCTTAGTCTCGCCCCTAGCAAGACACACTTTTCCGCATCCGGTGGCCCAGAACCCAGTTTGTCCAAAACTCAGTTCACGCCTTGCCACTGCACTTTCGTCAAAGCAGCAGATTTGGCGCCGACTCTGAAATGTATAACAACAGTAAAAATACACCTTACTGAACTTTCCAAATGATTAAACTTAGGTAGGCAGAAACAGATAGGCAATTAGAGCGAGGAGGTTTTTACGTGGTGCTCAAGAAAACTAAAATATGTGAGCGAATCTGCTGCGGAGGATCAGCTGGCTGCAAAATAAGTCAACAAGTCAGCTGGTTTCTCTTGATGCTCCGGTCTGTGACAGGTCTGAGTGTTCCGAGCTCTGCTGAATTAGCAAGGTGAGCCTGTACCCAGGAGCGAAGAATCCCTGCGAACAGAAATCTTCTAATGAAGGCTTGACTGGGTTTATCAGCCCGCAGTCTGCCTTCGCCTCCCTAGCCACTGTCAGCCTCACGCCTCTGGCCCGGTTGGCTGTAGAACTCAGTCCTGTCCTCCTCCTGTCCCTTTTTGTTGTTGTCGTTGTTAGAAACCTCAGATTTCACAGATACTAAAAAACTGCTTATTAATCCTTGTCTTTATATTCCTAACATCCTTCCTGGCGAATAGAATACAACAGTTCAGAATCCTTTACATTTCAAGTGAACTGTTCTAATAAGAGCAAATAATACAGCGTGAGAGGCACGCTTGATTCAGGTAAGTACAGGCTATGAGAACTTGTAATGGGGATCCAGTTGGGAGTCCCAGTAAAAAGTTAGAGCTGGCTTTCTGAGAGGCTGTCTACATTGAGACTGGAAGAACAAGGGAGTTGCTATCCAACAAAATGAAGACCAGTAATAGTGCTGTGGGGAAAGGAAAAGTCATTAAAGCTTAAAAGTGGAAATAGAAATTTGGTATTGACTCGTGTCCAGTATGGTTAAAAATTTAAATTAGTCTATACGTCTATTGATAAGGATGGGTGCAAGTGTACCTACAGAAGATACTGGGGATATCAGCTGAATTCAGGGGTTTGCGTTTTGTCACAAGAGCAATGGCTGACATAGGAAGGCTTTAAAGAGATGAGCAATATGATCAAATAAGTGTATTTCCTTTCAAAAGAAAGATGACTGTAACTTCATTGTCTGGAATGGTGTGAGAAGTGATTTCATGAGAGAAAGCCCAGCAACAGGGAGTTCAGTTCAGAGATTGATGAATAAATCCTTAATTGTTCTTGACTCATTTTTGAAATTTCCATTTTTCCCTGCAGAGGATGTCCTATACTTTCTATTTTCTGTATACCTTTTTCTCACATTGGAGCTCTCCTAACACTTTCTTAACCCCCTCTCCTATGAGATTTTATGAGCCCGCCTCTTATTTCCAGGATGACTACTTGGTCCCTACTGTATTTCTTTGATTTTGTTTTCACCGACTGTTTCATAAGCTCTATACCTATGCACTTACGCATTCTTTCCTAAGAATCCTTTTGCTTTTTTCTCTCTATTCTTTTGCTAGTACTCAGAACCTTTCCTAGGAGTATAAAGTTCCATATGAGCACATTTCTTTCCCTTAGGTGAACTCTGAAGAGAAACTTTGTCTTTTTGAGACAGGGTTTCACTATGCAGTTCAGGCTGGCCTTGAACTCATTTTATAGTGCCAGCTGGCCTTGAACTTGCAGGGATCCTCCTGCCCCAGCTTCCCGAGTACTGGGATTACAGGTGTGAGCCACCACTCCCAGAACTAAACAGAAACTTTTCACTGAAAAGGGGCAACTTTGTTCACATCAGGAAGATAGAAGCAGGAGTAACACTAGGGAAAAAAACCATAGGAGATGACTTAGAGTCACACAAATGAAATCTGAATGATGGCTTGATTTTTTAAAATGATGAAGGAATAATGAGACATCTTGTTTCTTGTGGATTTATAAATTAACCTTTTTTTGTTCTGTAGAAATTCCACCAAAAAGGATGAAGAAAAATCGAGAAAGATTCTGCAACAAAGAAAGAGAATTTGTGTATGCATTCAAAGTAGGAAAAGAATGCTTTGAACTGAGGGTGCCCTTCAAATTTCCTGTGCAAGAGAACCCCAGTCATTTGCATGGACGTTTGATGCTGCTGCACAATTTGCCATGCTTCATAGAAAATGGTGAGGACTGATTTTTTTTAATTGCTACCACTTTATATTTATATGAGCTGTCATTAAAAGTTTTATGTTAGCATAAAATCTAAAAGGCATTGGAAACATAAAATAAATAAAACATAACCACTTCTGAGTAAAAAAGTTTTCCCAGAACATTGTTTCCTTGAATATTTTCCTATAACCTTTATATTTTTTATAAAGCAATTTCATATAAAAGTTAAAATATGTGGTGAAAAATTAGTTGCAATGTCTAACCTCGGAACCAAGTTAGATGGATTCATAAAGATATCTCAAGTATCACTAATTATGGTATTACAGAATTATATTGCTGAATTGGTTACCCTTTTTACTGATCCAGTTTTCAATTTTTGCAGTAATGGAACAAAAGGAGTACTAATCTTTTAACAATCTTTATCTACCTAAATTAGTTTCCATAAAGTGATTTGTATTAAGCCATTCTAAAAGGTCTGTATTCTAACTCAAATACTGGGAAAAAAATTTTAACCAAGAAAATGTTGATCACAGAAGGTTGGAGCTATAAGAGAACACAGGAATTTCCTAGCACTGTCACATTATATTCATAAGGACACCTGACTTGAACAGGTCAGTTATTTGCCAAAGGTGACAATGCACGAAAACATGGTCCTTCACCAGCGCTCAGCACATCAGTTGTGGCTTGTTAGAGATGAGGCATCTGCCCCTATCTATTCCTCCAAGTCAGGAGCCCTAGAGTGGTGCTATGGCAGTCCTTTCAGCAAGGTGTCCCAGGAAGTGATGCACACCCGAGATAGTGAATCACTGGTCTAAAGTCACAAACTGGCAGCCAGACCAGAACCTCCTGTTGGTGACCTGAGTCCTCACTTGGTGCATTCTCCACTGAGAATGGTATCTAAAACTGAAATCACAGATTCTTTAAATCAGTTTCAAATCATCAGTTGCTTTTTCAAATTTAAGACATATTTATGGACTTTAAAGTTTTTCATTGATGAACAGTAACCTTCAGACTCTTAAAATCTATAGGTGTTTCTTTAGGTCGATATATCACAGCTAAGAATTTTGATCTGTACGTAATAACATGAATTAAAGAAAAATAATTGTGAAATTAGCTAAATGTTCTCCTCAGATGATTTTACTTTAATTGATTTAGCTTCATTTGGAATGCCTGAGAGCCAGGTTAAATATCACCTTTTTATGTCTAGATTTTGCTAATGATGTATATTTTGTCGCTCTTTCAGACTTAAAAGAATCTCTGAGCCAATTTATAGAAGAAGAATCCCTCCATGATTATGATGGAGATGCTGAAGCAGCCTTGGAAGCTGTGAAATCAGGTGAAGTAGATTTACATCAACTGGCAAGTACATGGGCTAAAGCCTATGCTGAGGTAAGTAGGTCAGATTGTATGTCTCAGGTATATGGGGATGAGGATTTTTAAATTGCTGAATGTTGAAATGGCTCATAGAATTTTTTTCTCCATATCCCAATAATGCACAGTAGATGTTGCAGCTTTTGTGCTTTATTCCTATATCAACATGAGCCTATAAACTAAATGTGATCAGGTATGATGGCATACATTTCTAATCCCCACACTCTGGGAGGCTGAGACAGATGGATTATAAGTTTGAGCCCACCTCAGAAAACTTAGAAAGACATTGTTTCAAAATAAAATATTTTTTTTGAAGGCTGGGATATACCTTAGTGTGAAGGTCCTGGGTTCAATCCAGTACCACACACATACACACAAAAGACAAAACATGTTTTACAAAACGTGGCTGAAATGTACCTAATCAGCATGAGCTCGCAGATTGAGTAATTAAAACTACAGGACACTGCCAGTTGTGGTGGTGTCCACCGTAAGCCTGTAGAACTCCAGAGACTGATGCAGAAAGATCTTAAGGTTGATATCAGCCTGGACTACAGAGAAGATGCTGTCCTAAAAAAAAAAAGCAAGGTATGGTGGCACATGCCTGTAATTACAGAGTTTGGGAGGCTGAAATAGGAGATTGCCTAGAGTTCTGGCCAGCTTGAACTCAAAAAACAAAAACACAGAGAGAAAGAGAAGGGACTAGGTATATAGCTCAGTGGTAGAGCACTTGCTTAGCACATGTGAGGCTCTAGGTTTGATACCCTCACATAACCCACAAACAATTACAGGGCACCAGTGAGTTTGGAATTTCAGATAACTGAATAATTTTTTTAGGGTAAGTATATCCCACATGTAGGAAGCATATTTTGCTAAAAATTATTTGCTTCTAACTTAAGTGAATGTTTGTATTTCATTGGCAACTATAAACCACCAGTAATAGTTCGTTTTAAGCTTTGATTTACTTTGTCCTCTCACTTAACATCATAGAGTTACATAGTGTCATCATTTTTATTTAAATAACACAACATTTCATAAGCCTAAGATACCATTAATTATAACACACATGTTCTTAGTTATTTCATTAACTAAGAACAAACACCACCACCCATTAAGCTGTGACAGAATGCCAAGATGCCGCTGAGTATAATTTGTAAAAAAAGACTCAAAAATATCATCAGGTCCCTCAAGTAATCCTGTCTTTGGCAATATCAGTTTCAGTTGATTGATGGGAGCAGAATTTAGATTTCAGCAACTTTAAGAATGCGTAAGGAAGTGGAATTAGGAAGAAGGGGTATGTGTAACCCCTTCCAGGACTGGATCTCTTGACGGAATGGTGTGAGTTAGATCAAGGAAACCTCCATTTAGTGCTTGTTTCTCGGGCAGTGGCTTCTGTCTGATCATTGACTTGGCGCGAAGTTTAAAATTAACACTGCAAGTTGTTATAGCTAGATGATTGGCTAGTAGTCACCAGACCTGTGGTGTTACATGTGGCTAGTGAGAGCCCCATCATCTTGCACTAGCTCCTTCCTGCAGTTTCAGCCTGAACCTGCAGTGGGTTTGACCAGGGGCTGGGTCACATGGGAAGGTTATGATTCTTAAAGCAGTGCCAGGTCAAAAGTGGAGGGTAGTTCTTTGAGTGTGCTCTAGGAACATGGGAAAGAGAAATCCTAATTCTAGGGGAACGTAGTACCCTGAAACTTCCCCTGCCTGCTGTGGCATTTGACTAATGAGAAAGAGGTTGCCTCTTTTTTTTTTTTTTGTCTTTTTCCTTTTTATCGCTACCGGGGATTAAACTCACGACTGCCTGCTTGCAAGGCAGGCGCTTATGCCGCTGAGCTAAATCCCCAGCCCCTAAGAGGTTGCCTCTTGATTGGCCATATTCAAGATCACTGTTTCTGTAGTATATTTAAAGTAAGTTCTCACTCTATGTAAGATCTCATGCTGAAAGTTTTTATTACTTTCATCAGTTAAAAAAAAAAGGAAGACTTTATTTAGATAGCTTTTTTCCCTAGATACCTATTTGTAAACATCAGTAGTGGAAAAATCTGTCAAAATCTGCATTTTATTTTCCCTTTGCCATTCATGTAATCATTGACAAGGCACTTTGCAGCCTGTCTGTCCTCACAGTGTGCCTGTCTGCAGAGTTGAGGTGACTGTTCTTGATGTGGGCACTTACACCTTCCTGACTGTATCTATGTGTATTCAGCAGAGCCCTTCAGCATGGTTCTACTTTTCTAGTTTAGCATTACTTATCCGTCCCTTTATCACTGCATTGTTGCTATTATTTTATATGCTAAAAGTTTATATTTTAAAAAGAAAATGTATATGAAAAGGTCAAAATAAGAACATTGCACATGTTGAATGTAAATATGAATGAATTGGATTTTCAAGGTCAATGTGTTATTAGATAAGCAGATAGGTCCTTAGTATTCTAAATACATAAGCTTATTAAACCTTTTCAGAGTCTTTTTAATAAATAGAAGTTTTACTGATTATATAATTAAAACATACAAAAAATAATTAAAACATGTATATTATTGTTATCATATAATGCATTGGAAAGTCCAGCCTATCAATCATCACTGTCCTGAAATAGCCACCGTTAATATTTTGTTGATAATCCCTTTGTGTGGGAAAGAATCATATACATTTACTTATTTTTTAATTTGCACATTTCCTGTCCATTTTACCACACTAATATCTATCTCTCACCTCAACTTAGTTTACATTTCTCTGTATTTTTTTCTGTCTCCAATCTTATATAATGTATACAGTGGTAATTAGGTTTGCAAACTTAATTTGTTTTACAATTTTTGGGAAGATGGCTGCATTTGTGTTTATGTGGGGAAGAATGGCCAGAGTTTGCAGATGGAAGTAAAATTTGCCAAATTTGATTTGTGAACCAAATTGTTTATAAACAGAAACATTCGTGAACCAAGGCATTGCTATATACACAAAGTATAAGTACTGCAGAGGGTTTTTCTGTCCTTATAAGGCACTCAAAAATGGGATCATACTATTCATACGTCTCTAGTGGTTTTGTATCATAAAGATACTGTGTCCTGATGTAAGAATGTCTGTATCATCTTATAGACCACATTAGAATATGCAAGGCCGGAAGAGCCTAGCTGGGATGAAGACTTTGCAGATGTGTACCATGACCTAATCCATTCTCCTGCCTCAGAGACTCTTCTAAATCTGGAACATAATTACTTCGTTAGTATCTCAGAACTTATTGGTGAAAGAGATGTGGAGCTGAAAAAACTAAGAGAGAGGTATTTCATATTTTTGCATTATCATAATGGAGAGTTACATTGTCAAGTATAATGACCTAGAGATTGACTTTTCAGTTTTTATAAAATTAGGGGACAAAATAGAATAAATTATTCAATATTAGCAACTAATTTTCTTGTGTGCCTAAGTATATAATTTTAACTGTGAAAGTCCTCATAGCATTATGGAACTTTTCTTTTTAACCTGAATAATTTATGCTATCTTATGTATCTAGTAAGAACTAGATAATCTCTGCTGGAAGGTTGCTGTGTTCCTGGCGTGATGCAAGGTGGCCCTGTGTCCTTTGGTCTTCACCCCAACCCTTATAGAGTATTAATAGTAGTATTAGTTTTCTCATATTACAGAGGTGGAAACTTTGTCTTGCTGTACAGCTTTTTTACAGAGTGTTTACATTGTATTAGGCATTATAAGTAACCTACAGATGATTTAAAAGAATAAAGATGTACATTGGTTGTATGTAAATACTGCACCATTTTATATAAGAAACTTTAATGTTCTGGTATCGTTCTGGAACCCAGCCCCCAAAGATCCAAGGGACAGCTATATGCTGATAATTTCCCCTCGTGGCTCCCTGTGCACCCATTACTAGTACTTTCACTCAGCTGATGCATTACCCTAAATTGCAGTGTACTGTGATACCTGCTTGCTGTAACTCCCTGAAAATCCTGTGTCTGGCCATTGATACTCTGAATTTTTTTTTTAAGTAAAAGATTCCTATTCCACATGACTCTTCACCTTTTCAGAAACTGAACTGACTTACTAATTATTTAACTTTATTAGTACTTGATAGTTTTTCTGCTCAGCAGGAATTTTTTTTTTTTTTTTTTTATGGTTCGATATATTCTTTGGCCAAATTTCTGGAAAGGGCTTTGACTTTTATTTTTCTTTCTAAATGTGTAAATAATCTTGCAGTGCATGCATTTTAAAAAGTTTTGTCAAATTGTTAGTTTAGATACACAATAAGCTATCTTTCTTGGTAATGCAATATTTATCACACAGGCATGACTTAAAGTAAAGCAGTGTGATTTAAAGTAAATTCAGATTCACTAGAGTCTGTGGAGGCTCATCAAAAATGTTGGTGCGTAAGTCACCCAGTTCATGAACAGAAGTGACACATTTTCTTTTCATTTTATTACCCTTTTATGTCTTTAAAAGATATTTTCTTAGCACAACTTCAGTACAGTTATAGCGATCTTTTCTCTTTAAATGCCTTTAAGATACTATGTAGAGTGCAGAATTGTAAGTCCTGAAATACTGGTCCAATCTATATTTAGTATTTTATCTGAAAAGTATAAGATTTCCCTTGACCTTAATCATAGAAAATATATTGTATCACTATTGGGGACCACTATGGTGAGTCCCCACTGTCCTGTAAGGTGTTAGAGCAAGAGACAAAATGGCATTGTAATGGGGATCTGGGATCCCCCTTGTGGCCTTTTGTTCTCCATGAACAAAAGGCAGCCAGACATAGGTATTTAACGATCAGGTTCGCATTGAGGGAAATAGGAGATTGCAGCTGAATGTGCTAAAAAATGGGGAGGAGAGGCTAGGGAGGCAAGGCTTGTAAAAGAGGGAGCAAAGCATTCTTGCAAAAGGGCAGAACAGCCAGATTCAGGTTGTAGTTAATGAGTAACCTGCTTTGTGGCAATTTTGGGAAAGAATTTTGTCAGGAGTCGCACAGGCCTCAGCACTAGAAGTGTTGTCTCATATCTGAGCCCCACAGTCTCACAGCCCACCTCCCTGGGCTCTCCTGTGGCCACAGGTGAAGAGCAGTGCTAGCCCAACACCACCTGCCTGCTATCATGAAGACACATACACAGCCTCGGCCAGAATCACTGCCTCTATATGGCCTGCCTTGCTTGTAGTAAGCGCAGTCATACTTTGAGCCTGGGAGTCCTCCATATATCAGTAACTACAGTTTTAACTACTTGCATTTTGGACATATTTAGGATAAAATAAAAGAGTGAAATAAATGTGCACAAAATTTTATTTGTTGAGTTTTTTTCCCCCTCACAAGAAAATTTTTTTAGCAAACCAGACCTGAACTGTTCTTTAAAAAAGTGGCAGTGATATTTTTTATCCACTAGAGGGAACACATGGAATGTGAAGTAGTAATAGAATTTATATCTAAGTTCACATTTATAAATACTTAAGTTATTGGTTTCTAAATAAAAGTCTTATTTACAAGCATAATCTTTACCTGATCTGTAGTAGTTATTAAAATTTTAATAAGGTCACTTGCATTAGAACTAAGTCGTAATTCAATGATACTGAATATTTAGTACCAGAAGATACAGATATGTCCGTGCACAAGACCCTAGGTACAATCCCTAGAGGGAAATAAGGAAAGAAGGATTGAAGGATGAAAAGATAGGAGGGAGGGAAGGAGGAAGGAAAGATGGATGGGCTTCTGAATTACATGAACAACTTTCACTCATCACATATATAATAAGTATAGTATCCTAATCATGGTAACTAAATATTCATCAATTTTTAAGAGCAATTTACTTAAATCAAGAATAATAGTAAAACTTGGCTTATATCTGTATTTTATTCTTTCTTGGTATATTTGAAATATATTTTAGACAAACTTTTTGCATGCATTTGTATTAGGGTAGCTTTTTTTTTTTTTTTTTTTTTTGTTACCAGGGATTGAACTCATGGCTGCATGCTTTCAAGGCAGGCGTTTATGCCACTTTGCTAAATCCCCAGCCCCTATGCATTTGTACCAAATCTTCTAATATCTAACTAATTCTTAATTTGGGTTTTTAAATGACCTTGTTTATTAAACTATACATACAGCTAGACACAGTGATGCATGCCTATAATCCCAACAACTTGAGAGGCAGAGACAGGAAGATTGCTAGTTAAAGGCCAGCCTGGGAAAATTAGGAAGGCCCTGTCAAAATAAATAAAATGAGCAGAGAGTGTAGCACAGAGAAAGCAACAAACTACAGCTCAATAAATGTTACAAATACACTCTCATCATCATAATCAAGAAACAGGGTCTCTTTGGTCCTGCAGAAATCTTCTACCCTTGTCACTGCCACTGTTCTCCCAGAAAAAAGTGTTATCTATTCTTCTGACATCACCTGTTGGTTTTCCTGAAAGGAAATCCATTCTTTTTTTATATTTGAACAAATGAAGAAGGTAAGTCTGCACTATGTATTCTCTAATGATAATTTTGTGACTAAGCAGTGTGGCTCTTAAAACCTAATTGTCAGCTTCTGCATGTAATTTAGTAGCTATCAGAAGTTGAATTCCCTTCAATTCTTACACAAATATAGGACAAATTTAGACAAATAGAAAATCTTTGTAAAGTGGACTTGCAGAAAAATTGTTAGAAAATTTGCAGATGAGAAAGTGTCTGGACTACTGAGGTAACTTAAAGGTGACTTGGTTAAACCCATTAAATTACTATTGCAGTTAGCCGCATGAATGATGTGGCTATTAGATGACATTACTGTGATTTCCACATTCCCATTTCCAAGGGTTCAGGTGTTCTCCATTATTAAAAATAGCATTCTTGGATATCTAGTTATAAAATAGACATTTTATTTTCACTTCGTTTAGTGAATCTGATTATTCACTGAATCAAATTGCTCAGTGCATCAGAAGTGCATCAGAAGTCTGATGAATAGGTCTGACGAATGAATGTGTATGTTTTAGACAAGGTGTTGAAATGGAAAAGGTGATGCAGGAATTGGGAAAATCACTCACGGACCAAGATGTAAATTCACTGGCTGCTCAGCATTTTGAATCGCAGCAAGTAAGTGAAATACGGTGATTTTTATGTAGTTACATTTTCTTTTACTTATTAATTTTTGAAAGAAAAAGTAAGCAGTTGGCCCACTGTATCTTTCAGGACTTAGAGAATAAATGGTCAAATGAATTAAAACAATCCACAGCCATCCAAAAACAAGAATATCAAGAATGGGTGATAAAACTTCATCAAGACTTAAAAAATCCAAACAACAGCTCCCTGAGGTATTGAGCATTATTCTTCTGATTCATTTAAAATTCCACTCTTAGTAACAGTTTATGTTTACTAGAAACTCAAGGCTTGCTGTATATATGTTTAAGGTACAACTGGATATTCAAGGTAATTTTATGTTCCTTTTAGCAACTTTTGTATTGTGCACTATATGTATATGGTTTTAGGGTGGAGAGGGTAATGACTGGTTGGTTTAAAATAATGATTTTTTTCCCCCTAGAACTTTAGCTGTAGAAATCTTCTAAGGTGCACACTATCTTTTGTTTTCTTAGTTTCTGCTCACTGTAATTGGTTGAATGCCAGCCACTCTGTAAGCAGAAAAATTGTAGAACTAATATTTTTTAAAAAGTCTGATCTGTAAATAAAATAATAATGTACAAATTGAGATGTGTAGTAGAAGCATGGATACACATAATATGGAGGATTTTCATAATTCCTATCTTGTGTGGTACATTGTATTTCATATATTGCCTTAGAACTTGATAGGGCTATAATATTTCCTGGCTGTTTCCTCATGTTTGAGAATTTCTGCTTTCAAATGCAAAGTATAGTTAACAAAAATGCACTAAGAACCCTATAATAACTATTTTTACAATATGCTATTACGTGCCATATGCTTTTTAAAATGCATCTTATTTATATAATGTTCGTTTCTCCTGCTTGTTTTGCCTTGAAGGCAAGAATTATTTCTAGGTTCTTCAACAGTTGTATATCCATCTGCTTGCCAAGGATGTAGCTCTTGACACTGGCACATTAAGATGTGCTAAGTAAATACTTACGGGATGAAGGAACAGGTTTTTGTTAAGTTCTCTATCAGACACCTTAATCACCTTTTATGTACCTATTATAAACTTATTTGTTTAACATTTTCCTCAAACCCTTGGTTGCAGTTTTGTAGAAACTATTCTAGATCCTTTACTCCCCAACCAGCCTTTTTAAAATGACAAAATAGCAGAATAAAATAGAAGTAGACTCAAATAGAAAAAAACAGTACCTTATGCATAGAACTATATATTGAGTCAAAATCTAAAGTTCATACAGTATATTTAGACAAAAAAAGTTGAAAACCACTGCTGTAGGAAAGTTGAGCTTCTTCCTACAAGAGCCTCTTGCTACAAAAGTTAGCCTCAGCTGCTTTAGTTTTAGAAATCCAGTGATAGGGTCAATCCCATTGTGGAAGTACTGGCCTCTATCTGTTGCTGTTTTTAAAAACTCAGTATTCCTATGGAAAAGTGTTTTTACTTTGACTTTCCTAGTTTTCCTTCCTTTTTGATAGATGTTTACTTTGATGAGTGGAAACCTGTTTTCCACGAAACTTTTTACAGGCTAAGTGAGATACATGGCGGGATAAATTACACAAAATAAAACTCATCTGACTTAGGTGTTCACTTTGATGAATTTTGACAAAATTAGTCATAAAATCATCATCATAATCAAGACTCAGAATTTTGCTTTACACTTTCTAGACCATCTCTTTACCCCTTCCTAGTCCCTGTCTCTGCCTGATTTCTGTCCTCATAACTTTGATGTTTCCAGAGGGTCGTATAAGTGGAATCAAACTGTATGTTATGGTTAATAGCTTGCATCTTTTGTTTGGCATAGTACATTTGGGACTCATTCATACTGTTCTAAGTATCAGTGTTTTGCTTTTGTTTGCTTTTGTTTTTATTATCCAGTAATATTGTTACTCATTTATTTATCCATTTATTTGGTGATGAACTTTTCAGGTATTTCTGGATTTGAGCAATTACAAATAAAGCTATTATATGCAGATCTTTGTAGAAACATATGTTTTGTTGCTCTTATATTAATACCAGGCCATATGGTAGGTGTAAGTTTTAATTTTATAAAAAGCTGCCACGCAGTTTTCCAGAGTGGTTGTACAGTTTTTGTGTTCCCACCACCGGAGCATGAGTTGTGGCTGTACCACACCTTTGTAACCACTTAGTGTCACTATTAACCCAGTAGGTTGTACTAATTGCTCATTTTCATTTTCCTTAGCATTTCCTTAATGGCTAATAATGTTAAACATTTTTTCATGTGCTAATTTTCTGTGTCTCTCCTTTGTGTTTCTTATTATTGAGTTGTGTGCATTTGTTATGCATTATGGATACAAGTCTAATCAAACATATCTTTTTAAACTATTTTCATCTGGCTCTGGCTTTTATTTTCATTCTCAATACTATATTTTAGAGAGCAAAGTTTTTTGTTTTAATTAGTTGCAACTTAACAATTTTTAAATTAAGACTTTTTTTCAAGGTTGTTTTTGGTTCACAAAATTAAGAAAGAACAAAGATTTACCCCTGGCCCACATATATGTAGCAGAGTGGTACATTGTTTACAACTGAGAACCTACATTGTAAGTCAGGTTTGGTGGCTCACACTTGTAGTTCTGACAGGAAGATCATCTCCATTTCTGGGCCATTCTGGGCTGCATAGTGAGTATCTTGAACCTACATAGTGAAACTTGTCTCAAAAAACAGTGGGGTGGTGGGGAGAACCTACATTAACACATTATGCTCAACCAAGATCATTTGGGGTCATTCTTGTAGTTGTATATTCTGTGTGTTTGGATAAATGTATAATGACAGGTATCTACCGTAGCAGTGTCATATAGCAGTTTCAGTACCCTAAAAACCCTCTGTAGTATACCAGTTTTTCAATTTTTAAATCAGTTGTATCTTATCTAAGACATCTTTGCTTAATTCATGATCACAAAGATTTCTATGTTTTCTTTTAGAAATCTCTTTGATAGTCTTAGGTTTTACATGTATATGATGGTATATTATTTCATATATATGATATATATCCATATGTTGGTCTCTAGTTTTTGTTACAAAATCTTCATTTGGTTTTGGTATCAGGGTGATATGATTAGCAATCATCAATCTGATACCATGGGGGTTTTTTGTTTTAGTATTTCTATTTGTCTGCCATCTCTACTAGATCTTTTAACATACTAATCATAGTTATTTGAAAGTCTCTTCCTTTTAGACTCAATATCTAAGTCATCTCTACATTTGTTTCTGTTAATTGCTTTATCTCTTAACGATGTTGGTTGTTGTTTTTTCCTTTCCAGGCTGCCTTTCCCATCTCTTCTTTCTCCTGCTTTTTTCCTTTCTTCGGAAGGCTAGATATTATAAATATTAGGAGAGACTAAAGTAAATAGTAATTATATACAGAAATGAACAGGCCATAAATGTGAAGGTGGTGCAAATCCTATCAGTAGTTGAGCAGAATTTGGCTTTTTTTTTTAATTTAAAGAGAAAAAAGAAAGGAAATAAAAAAGCAGTAAAAGGGTACAAGTAATACAGAATTTCAAGAAAAAAGATATACAGTAAGACAGAATTTGGTTTCTATACCCATTAGTACCTTCAGTAACCCAACAGATTTCACTTCTACAATAGTAGTGTGGTGCTACTTTATGCCTGGGTTGGCCATTGGGATTCTACAGAGATTCTCTCCAGACAGATTTCAGCAGTCTGTGTGTCTGTGCCAGAGTAGATCTTCTCTCCATGCCTTTGCTGTCTCTCCTAGCAGTACATATTGCTGGGAGTTACTTGGTGCAAGGCCCAGGGGCACAGGGAAAAGTTCCTTTGTCCACCTGGTGTCCAGGTCTGTCATCTTTGTCTAGCTTCTGTCTTGGGCAAAACACATATATCTGGACTGGAGGGCCATTCTTGGCATTTCTGCTTCTGTCTCCTCTCCTAGTTTTATCTCGGGAGCACTTGGTAGGAGCTAATGAGGTAGAGTTTACAAATACAAGAACTGTGCTAATTTGGTGGGCCAGCCCAAACTTGGCCTTCAAAAATCTGTTAAAATTTTAATAGATTTCTTTTTCCTCCCTTGTACTGATAAAACCTATTTCAATCATGTTGTTGTAACAGAAATGAAACTGTTTATATGTCCCGTCTGTCCCAAGAAGCAGCATGCCCACGTTGTCCTACGTTGGCTCCAGAAAAGTTACAATTGTGCAGTTTCTGGCTTTTCCCCATTTTTAAAATGGGAATAACTTTCTTTTGTAGCTTTCTATATCCTAAGGTGAGGATATTAATATATATTTATTTTCAATTTAAATTTCCCATATTTACTAATGAAATCAGTGAGATGAGTCATTTTAGGTTAATCCCCCAAAATTTAGTCAATAGAGTAGATGACTCTTACAGACTTTAACCATTTTCAGCATACTCTGAAATTCACATTGAATGCAATTACAGCGCCACTTTGGAGACCTTTTTAGGAAACACAAGGAGTAGAATAAAGGAAGATCACTTAGTGGGAAGAGAATGTTGGAGGTTAAAAAACATGAAATGATAGAAAATAGAGTATATATACATTAAAATAAACTTCATATTTTTGTTATTTATTTTATTTGGCTTGTTAATTTTTATTGCTATCACTTCATCTGTTTTCCAATTTTGCCTAGAGCTAGCCCTGATACAGGATGTATTATATATTTTTAACTATACAAAGTAATAAGTCAATTCATTTTCTCATTCTCAGACCATTATGAAATTTTAAATGGTAATATGTTGACATTGTAATGATTGAAAAAGATAATCTGCATTACTTGGAAATGAAAGAAGAAATGGGACTCCTAGAACTTGTTAGTGCTGGTGATCTGACTTATCATCATGGATTAAAGATGAATTTAGAAATAAGTTAAGCACTACTTTCAGCTATTCTATTTTCTCTTATTTCATTATGAAGTTTGCTTTCCTTTGAGAAAAGTTTTTGAGAAATATACAGTGAAAGTTGTATCAATTTTAATAATTTCAGTGAAGAGATTAAAGTTCAGCCAAGTATGTTCAGAGAATCTGTAGAAACAATTGGAAGGATTTATGAGGAACAAAGAAAGTTAGAAGAAAGTTTCACTATTCACTTAGGTAAGTATATCAGGTTTTATACTTACAATTTATTCTAACTTCTGATACTGACCCTGTAAGATAAAAAAAAAAAAAAAAAAAAAAAACCTAAAATATGTATAGTGCGTACAGATTTTTTTTCATTCCAAATTTTGTCCTTATAGTTGGTTGGATATACATTTACTACTTTACCTTTTATTATTTTAAAAATAGAATAAATTATATAATGGTTCTTTAAAATGGAAGTCCATGGGGCTGGGGACTTAGCTCAGCGGCATAAGCGCCTGCCTTGCAAGCATGCAGTCATGAGTTCGATCCCCGGTACCGATAAAAAAAAAAAAAAAAAGATAAAAAATGGAAAGCCGTAAAGCCTATTTTAAATTATGATTTGTGTCACAGATTTGTCTGGGACTATTGCCAGAGATATGTGAATCTGGTTATACTGCATTTTGGTAGCTATTTACAAATCTTTCTGGAACTGTTGGTTCTTCTTCCAGGAGCCCAGTTGAAGACCATGCACAATTTGAGATTGCTCAGGGCAGATATGCTGGACTTCTGTAAGCATAAAAGAAATCATCGCAGTGGTGTGAAACTCCATCGGCTGCAAACAGCACTATCCCTTTATTCCACATCGCTGTGTGGCCTGGTTTTACTAGTAGACAATCGAATTAATTCATACAGTGGTATTAAGAGAGGTGAGTTGACATTGTACATACTTATTTCATTAAATTCCTCTTTGTAACACCTTTTATAAAGAAAGAAATTATGGGAAAACTGTACTTATCTTTAATCGCCCCAGTATTCAGATAGACCTACCAATAAACATGCCCAGCTATAGTGATTTTAGATTTTTTGTGTGTTGTAACATTGATAGATGACTTCGTGAAATTTAATTTTTCTTAAAACTCAATTACATTGTATATAGTGTTCTTATAGGATCTTTATTTCAGGGTAAACTTAAATAATGAAAATACAGATGTGTTTATGAGCAGATCCTGGCTCAGTGAATTTTAGTTCTTTCACTTTTAAGTCTTCTTAAATGCAGTAAAGTTCTTTCTTCCCTTTTAGTAGGAGCTCAATTTTTAGGATTATTTCTAAATTTTTTAATACATGAGAAGTATTAAAATATATGATTCCTTTTGAAAGAAAATTGAATTAATTTCCCCTCCTAACTGTAAGAAACTTCTCTTTTTTTTGGTCTTTTTCATTTTTATCGGTACCAGGGATCGAACTCACGACTGCCTACTTGCAAGGCAGGTGCTTATGCTGCTGAGCTAAACCCTCAGCTCCAAGAAACTTCTTGTATAGCATTTTGGGGAGTACATTATGATCAAATCATCTATGATTTAGTGAAGACTTAGAATTATATTAAAATATCCTTGTTTTGGTATATTTTATATGCAGATAGTTTACAGTAGATCACGGTTTATGATAAATTTTTCTTACGTGTTTAGTTTACTTGGCAATACATTTGCAGAGTAAAGTTAGAATGAAGTATAGAAAATAAAATAAGTAAATAAAATATCCTTGTTTACTCTTTTGAGTGATTGAAAAATAAAAATTTCTGACCAATACAAATTTACTGTGCCCTAACTTAAAGGGTGATTATTGAAAATCCTAAGAAATCAAACTTGTTTTCTTTTCTGTTTCTCCTTAATCTCATTGTCTGTAAATAGATTCTGTGTATTTACTAGTCTGCATTTAGAAGTTTGTCCATGTTTTGGGTCCCTTAGATTTTGCCACTGTTTGCCAAGAGTGCACGGACTTCCATTTCCCCCGAATTGAAGAGCAACTGGAAGTCGTTCAGCAGGTGGCGCTGTACGCCAGAACCCAGCGGGGCAGCAAGTTGAAAGAAGCTCAAGGTCAGTATGGCTGGGCCCTAGTCACTCGGTAGCATATGGGTGAAGATTGCATTGGTGCAAGTTGAAAGAAGGAAATTAAGAGCTGAGTTTAAGATCTTCAGAAGGTTGAATTCTGTTCTTAATTCCCCTTTTTGGATGGTTTTTTTCAGGATCCTTAGAGACAACCAATTTTTTACTTTTTTGTTTTTGTTGTTGTTGGGGATCTAACCCAGGGACTCACACATACTAGGCAAGCACTACCTTGAGCCACATCCCTGACTATGTGAAAAGCATTTCTAAATTTCAGTGCATAGGCTGGGTTATAATGCAGTGGCAGAGTGCATGCCAGGTCCTGGATTCAATCCTCAGCACCTAAAAGAAAAACAAAATAAATTTCAGTAGTATGTCTCCAAAATGCCATAAGTATTACTAAAGAAGGCCTTGAAATTACAGAGTAAAAGGAAGCACAAAATACATACTTTTTATATGTTCCATCTTTGATTTAAGTAGCATAGTTAATTTTTTTTTGCATTCTTTTAAAAATTACTATGTGTCCTTAAGCTCCTGCTTTTTCTATATTTATCTGCAATGTAAAATCCTTTCCAACTACCTTGAAATTTATGGGAAATTTTTAAAAATTTTTGAGATATATTTGACAATTATAAATTATATGAATTTAATGTATACAGTTTCATGATTCAGTATACATTGTAAAAGAACCCCCTCAAGTTAATCACATCTGTCACCTTAGATGGTTACTACTTTTTTTTGTGGTAAAAACATCCTCTTCACAAATTGAATACATGTGAAAGCCTATGGTTGTACACTAGATACCCAGAAATTATTCCACTGGCAGAACTGAAACTTTGTACCCCTTGACCAGCACCTTGTCTCCCTCTTCTGACAGCCCTCGTCAGCCATAAGTCTCCTGTTTCTGTGAGTGCAACTGGTTTAGATTCCATATGTGATACCATGCAGTGCACTATTCTTCCCTTACCCAAGAGATGCGTGTGTGTGAACAGTAAACATGTATGTGGAATAAATGCCTCAAAATCTCCTAGGTTAAGGGCACACACATTCATAATTTTGATAGTAATTACTGTCTATAGCAACTCTACAAGATTATATTTCCTCCAAAGGCAACTGGGGCTTTGCTGCATGTATGCATCAGAGCCAGGCTGAGTATTAGGAAATCCATACAGCATTATATCTTAACTAAAGACCTTTCAGAAAATTTCAATATTACCCTCTTACTGTTCTAGCATCTTCTTCCTTGATCTCATCCAAACATTTTAATATTAGTATTATTAGGAGTAGTTACTAAAAGCACAAAGATTGAGTTCATGATAGGTGTAGGAGAAAGTGAAAAAGTCTAAGTATATTCATGTGAGATAGAAAGTATGCTGTAAATGACAGGAAGCTTTTAAACCACATACACTTAGGGCAGTGCATGTGTATCATGGTATTTTGTTCTTGTTCAAGCAACTACTTTGTGGTTTTATATGAGTCAGTAAAGAAAGTTGTTTATAAAAGAAAACTTTCCTAAATGAACCTGCATGTTATAGAAGAGTTTTATGGAAATACTTTTTCCACTCATCCATTTCAGTGGATGCCTATTATTTGTTCTGCATATTCACATCCTGTTACTCAGCACCTGTTTATTCTAAAATATCCTATTGTTTTCTTTCTGTGGTTATACTACTATATTTCTACAGTCCTTAATGAAAGTTCAAAACCTGCTTTTGTGTTCATTTAAAAAAATAAAATAGCCATCTTCTAAATGTAGTATTACCCATTAAAACATGGAAATGAGAATGGAAATGCTCTTGCTTTCATAGTTCCTTAATAGGAATTATTTGTTTATATTCCATATGAGCAAAATTAGAATCTCCATTTGTTGTTTTTTTATAATCTGTGCAATGATCAGAGATTTATTTAAAGCCTATCAATTACCTGGCTGTATATTAGACACAAATATTACATATATATTCCAGCAACAGAGGCTTCTATCTCTTGTGTTTATCTGTCTCTTCAATTATAAAATACATGTTTACAACATACTGTGATACAAATCAATTCATCAAAGTAGTCATTAGACAAAAATAAAGTTATTTTTATTTAGATCATTAAATCATAGTTTTTATTTATAGTTTACTATTTGGAATTGTTTTCTAATTCAAAAGGTAATTGCAAAATAAATTTAAAATATTTTTAATTGAATTGGAATAAGAAGACAGCTTCTTAAAGAGAGCTACTTTGAAAACCTAATGTTCGTTTTGCATTTGTGACTTGGCAGAACTCTTATAAAATTTCTATCTTCTATAACATATGTATATAAAAATGTTTGGCTTTCATAATGTATATTCAATACTAATATTTATAGTTTATCAACATTTATTTTTCTAAAAATTGTGCCATCAAAAAAATTATTGAATATCTGAAAAAATTCTGTTTGAAACAGAGTCTCACATACTCATTGGAAATTAAATATATAAAAAATAAATTCCAGGAACAAGCTGAATATAGTGATTCTTGTGCTACTTGCTATTTATTTGTAGTCCTGAACAAGTAAACTACAACTTACACTGTGTCAGATGCTACCGTAGTTATCTAATGAAGTTATTTTATATATAGTTAACTTAGTGCCCCGACCCTCCCAGCTGAAAACTAGCATTTTGTCAAGTCTAATATGGTTAGGATCATGGGATTAAGAATCTGGGTATGTGGTTCAAGACCTGGTTTCATCTCTTATCTGTGCATTCTTGGTTAAATTACTTAACTTATAAGACACACGTGTATAAACATCGTATTGTTTCATTAGTGTGACAAGCTGAAAGAAAAAACATGCATAAGTGTATGAATGCATATATTAAAAATAGTTAAGGTAGTTATACTACTGATTTCCGAGTTCGCTGAAGAGAAATATTTGTACCGGTATTGTTTGGCAATTGAAGGCAAATGTCTTGTGCTCTGGGTGAATGATTTGGTGATGACAATGTGCAGTGTATGTACTATTGTTACCCTGATTGGGATGCTTTAAATTTTTGTTGTGGTTTTTTTCTTTTTCTTCTTTCTTTCTTTTTATGTTTGAATAAAATGGATTTGAAAAAAATTTAAATATCAGAACAAATTTAAAGAGAAAAAAATGAAAATTAAAAAAATCAAAAAGATAAAAATAAAAATAAATTACTTAACTTGTCTAAGCTTCTTTCCTTACATATAAAATGAATGTTGGGCAGAGTATAGTTCAATTATACAGTACATTCTTAGCATTCATAAAACCCTGAGTTCAATCCTCAACACCAAGAAACAAACAAAAAACCATGGATTTTGGTTATAGGAGTTTTGTGAGAATTAAATGAAAACATTTATCTAAAGCATGTAGCTGGATGCCTGGCATATATAGGCTTTTGGTAAATTTTTGCTTGTTTTGAAAATTGCAGTGGTGATGTGTTTTCACATTATCATATTCTTTATTGGTGAATTATGAATAGATTCTGGGAACCAAAATGGAGCAAGTGATGAAAAGACTGCAGAGAGAAACTATTTAAACATTTTACCTGGTAAGTACAATTTTGTTTAGATTACTGTTTTCTTATACATTAAACTATAGATTTGAAACATAAATTCTTATGATGTACATTATGAAATGTTTCCTAGTATATAATTTTGCAACATTTTGTATATATGTATAATATGCTTTTGCGGTTTTTTCCAATGTCAGTATTTTTATACAGTTCTTAAGCAACATATCCTACAATAATAATTATATCTGTATCTTACAGTATCTTACTGTACTATATCTTACAGTAACAACAGAGCCTACAATATAAATAAGTAACTTCTTGAGTAATTTTTCATGTGTGGACATGCCTTCTAGATTCATGCATGAAAAATTGCTGAAGAAGTTGCAAGTTTTATGATTACTTATGGTTATTTATGGTTTTTGCTATTTCACATATCCTCATGTATGTTGTTTCTTAGTGTCATACGAAATAAATCAAGGGATCACTTTTACTCTGAAATGTAAGCAGTAGTACATAGAAATGTGAATAGCTGAACCTATAAAACAATGGATCATCTGATAGAATCTTGTTTGCATTCTCCCTTACATTTTCCTGCTTTCCATTTCTTTCATTTCCATTATCATTGCAGAATATGTTGTTTAAGAACTGGAATTCAGTCATCTAACTCCTTTTTGATTGAAGTCATTCTGATGACCCCCTAGTACCACTTGTGTGACAGGTCATAACAAGCAGGGCCCCTTTATGTAAGGTGAATGTTGTCTTTTAAACTAAGTAGTCAACGTTAGTGTCATAAATAGCCATCTCTTGGGAGTGCTCTATGCTCCTTTAAGGTAGCTTCCTCACTTCTCCTTCCTCAGATATTTGATATTAAGTCACATTATGTTTACTTTAGCAAATATCCTACCCATTCTTGGTATTCGTCTTGTGGTGCCCAGTCAGTCAGTTTGAGGTCATCAGCCTCCAAATGTTCTCCCACACGGAGAGAGCTTACCTTGGAGACTAATGTTAGAATCACCACATGCTGTTTCCTGCACTTTTTGGAACAGGAAGCTGTTCTTCTCTCCACCTAAAAATACTTTCAATGAAGGATTTATCATACTCTTCTTCACAGAGTCATAATTTAAATTATCCATATTTTCTGGCTTTCTTATAAGTGTTCAATTTTATAGCTACTCTGGATGTCCCATTGTGTAGTTTTTAAACTTAATTTTTACTACTATAATTCCTTGCTTGTTCTTTTTTCAAAAAAGTCTATAGTTTAGTATCATTTGTACTGCCAAATCAGGAGAATATCACAAGTCCAAGTTAGAAATGGAATATTAAATTATTCAGTTATATATCCTAATAGTATCTGAAGTTCTGTTTAAAGAATGCCTTTATAATGAACATATTTGTAGACTTTAAAAAGATATAAATCACAAATTTTTTAAGTTGTAAAGAAAAATAGTTTTATTTTTAGATTTTTATGCCAATAGTAATTTACTTTCTTGTTTTTTGGTACCGGGGATTGACTCATGACCTTTCGCTTGCCAACTTGCTCGTGGTCTAAGTTTTTACACTTTTTCTCACCTAATTCTGACAACAGCCTTGTAAGAGAAGTAATCGGGCATTATTTTCCCATTTCATGTACAAAGTAACATAATAATAAGTTGAACCAATTTTCTTAAGATCACTCAGCCAATAGGTGCTAGAGCTCAGATTTCCTTAGCATCCAATCTAGTCATTTTTCTACTATGTCATACTAGTTGAATAGTTACTGCCAGCTCCAGGACTGGCTTCCATTTTATTAATGGGTGAAGTGAGACCAAGAGACGAGTCATTTAAGGTCGAAGAAAGCAGTGCCAGGTTGGGGATTAGGAGCACCTGACTGGCTCACCAAGGCATCCTACCTCATTGCTGGACCATGGCCCATGCTTAACACTGTGACTTCCATCATTACAGGGAGGAGTTTCAAAGGTACAGCACTTGCTGGGCCCTGAAGAATACTGTCCCATCTTCCTGACAAGCAGTCTGTGTCTTTCATTGCCTTCTTGAGAAATACAGCAAAGCTGTTCCTCACCACACAGTTGCCCTTTCATGTTCTTTTTATCCAGGTTTTTCTCTCTTTTTTTTTCTAGCATCTCTATCATTGTTCAGTCTTCAGTTTCTCTTTCTGTTTATCTAACTCCTGTATCATGTTAAAATTTTAAAAAATGAGTAGGGGAAAATAGACCTTTGTCAGGCAGGGATTTTGCTCAGTGACATAAGTGCCTGCCTAGCAAGCGCAAGGTCATAAGTTTGATCCTGATACTAAAAAAACAAAAAACCCTTTGTTTAGGGCCTTTCAAAGCCATCCAGCTACAAATACATATGAGTGACTAGAAATGTCAAGCACAGTGCCAGTGTATATAAGTACTTTTGAATATGAGTACACCACATGTTTAAAACTTCCAGATAATACCTTCGAAGCAAGCTTTCACAGAACGTGTAAAGGTAGGATTCCTGTAAAAGAGTGGGAACGAATAAACTTTTCCTAAGGGGCATTCCAGTGATCCATATGCATTTGTAAAAAGATATATTTTTAGTATGTTTGTAATACATAATGAGTATATTCGTAGCAGGTAGTTGGTACATGTATATGACACTTCAATTCTTTTTTTTGCCCCTTTCTCTCCCTGTCTTCCCCCTGCCTCTCTCAGTTCCTTTCTCATTTGCAAAAGATCTATCTCCCTATTTTCTATTATCTGCTTTTTATTTGGCTCTTTTGTTGATTTATATTTTGGGTTTCTCATATAACAGAAGCTACAGTATTTAAGCTTGTGTGTCTGATTTGTTTCATTTAACATTATGATCTTAAGGTGTACCCATTTTCCCTACAAATCACTCAAATTTATCCTTTATTGCAGAGTACTCCATTGTGTATTAATAGCACATTTTCTTTCTTTATCCATCCCTCTGTTGATGGACATATAGGCTGCCCCCAAGATTAAGCTATTAGGAGTCAGTACTGCTGTAAACATGAGTATTCATGTATCACTGTAGTATGATAACGTTACCTCTTTTAAGAAGATACTAGTAGGGGAATAGTTGGCTCAAATGATTTCAATCTTTTGTTTTTTGAGAAATGTTTTCACTGATTTCCATAGTGGTTGTACCAGTTTACAACAATGTAGAAGGGTTCCTTTCTCCCAGCAGCCTCACCAGCATTTTATTATTGGATTTCTGAATAATAGCCCTTCTTTCTGTGGTAAGGTAGAATCTCAGTGTTATTTTCATTTGCATCTCTCTCATGGCAAGGGATGTCGAACATTTCCTGAGTGGATCTTTTATCTTGGGGAAGGGGAATCTGGTTTTTGATTTCTTGATATTTTCTAGATATTAGTCCTTTTCCTGAGGAGTTTTGACAAAAATGTTTTCCCCATTCTGTAGATTGGTATGCTGTTTGTTACTACCTCAACTTCATTGTCTATTATTGGATTGGTCAGATTATTTTGTCTTCCTGGTTCAGTTTTGGTAATTCATATATGTCTAGGAAACTGTCCATTTCTTCAAGATTGTTGCCTCTCTTCCTTCTGATGTATGTTGATGTGGGCCTGCTTCTTCCCAGTGGTTAAGTTTGACTAAGGATTTGTCTGTTTTGCTTATTCTTTCAAAGAACGAGCACTTCTATTCACTGATACTTTGTATTTATTCTTTTAGTTTCAGTGTCATTAATTTCTACCCTAATCTTTATAATTTCTCTCCTTGTATCAGGCTTGGGTTTCATTTATCTGATCTTTCAGAGAAGACTATTCTGTTTGTCTGTTTTCTTGAATTGTATCTTTAGGTTATTTGAACTCTATTTTTCTGATGTAAACACTCACAGCTAAAAGCATATTCTTTATATGCTTTATCTATTTATATTGACAAAAACTACAGAAAATAAAAACTGTTGATGCTTTTCTTAGCTATAGTGGCAAATAAAGAGAGATTGTAAGAAGCATGGATTTTGCAGTTTGAGAAACAGTCCTCCAGCAGTTAGTCTAAAACATTTATTCATTCATTCACCAAATATTTGAGTGCCTCCTTTTGCTGAAAACAGAACATTAAACAAAATAGACAAAATTCCTAAAGTAATAGATCATGTTTGTGTAATCCCTTTAGGATTATCTGTGAGGTGGTGGTGTGATCAAAATATATGGTAAATGTTTAAATTTTAAAAATGTATTACAGTGAGACACGACTATTAATCACTTTCAAAATGCTTCCTCTCACTTCAAACACAGTTACTCCACTATTCATGCTACTTTCTGAAACAATTATAGAAATACTTTGTGTTTTTCTTGAGTATGATCAAAAATATGGTGAATAAGGGCATGGTGACACTCTCCTGCAGTCCCAGCACTTGGGAGACTGAAGCAGGAGAATTGTGGCAAGCTCGTGACCAGCCTGGGTTACAAAGTGAGCTTAGAACTAGCTTGAGCTACATAGAGAGACCCTAATGTTGGATCACTGAGCAGAACTGTTGGCAGTGTCACTATTTGAATGTCACTTTATATGCTTTAATTTTGTAACCTGAACAACTATTTCTAAGATGACAATATGTAACTTATCAACTAGTGATTTCTTACTATTTATTTTTCTGTAATTCTGTATTATTTCTACCTTTTTTTTCCTTTCTTTTTTCTCCATTTTTTTGTTTCTTTCTCTTTAAATAATAATAAAAAAATTAAAGCATACAAAATGGACATTCAGAAAAAAAGACCAAAATACAATTTTTTTTAAAAAAAATGATGAGTTGTCTTGCTAAGTACCATTGTGTAAAAAGTAGGTTCATAAAAATATTATAATGTCCCCTCATTCACTGTATTCACTTGGTCTGGTACCATGCAACTTTTGGCTCTTCTCCAAAATGAAAGTAACCATAAAAGGTAAACAATTTGAGCCAATGCAATACATGTAGGCAGCTAAAGCAGCAAACCTAAGACACTCCAAAAATGACTTCTGTAATTGCTTCAGAAAGTGACAAGGGATAACTGCTTCAAATCCAACAGAAGTATTTTGAGGAGAAATCATGGCAATGTGTTTTTTTATTATATACGTTTTTAAGTAAATATTCACCATATATTTTGATATTTTTCAATCACACCTCATGTAAACAAAAGAACTTTAGTGCTAAGAGTAAAATACAGCAGAGTGATGTAAAAGAGAGACAGGGTGCAAGTTAGTGAAGAGGGTCCTATGTCAGACAGGATGGCCAAGGAAGAATTCTGAGAAGGCGACATTTGATCCGAGCCATGATTGATGAAGTCAGCCATGTGAGAATCTTGGAGAAAAACCCTCCAGGCAGCATCCCTGATTTGGGAACAAGCTCTATATGTTTGAAGAGCTGACAAAGTCTTGTGTGGCTAGAGCAAAGAAGAGAGGGTGGAACAAGGAGATGCTGGAGAGACAGGCTCGGTCAGTCAGGGCAGATCTGATAGGCCTGGGAGGCACAAAACAGAACTGGGCTTTCTTCTGAATGTAGTGAGAGCTTGTTGGATGATTTTTAATAGAGAAATGATAAAACCTAAATTGCATTTAAATCATCTTGGCCCACAGTGAAGAAATTGTTTATAGTTGATCAAAACTAGAAGCAAAGGGATAAGTTAAGAGACTATTGCAAAATCTGGGTGAGGGACAATAGTAACATGAAATAGAGTAATAGTAATAAGTATGGGATGCTCAGATTTGAGATATGTTTTAGAAATAGAACTAAAAATAGTTGGTAGTGGGTTGCAGAATAGGCACTAAGGAAAGGAAAAAATTAAGGCCCACTGTATTTCTGACCTGACCTGAGCAACTAATGAACCAAGATTAGTCCCATAAAGCGAAATGAAGGAAAACATATTTAGGATATAGAGAAAGCAAGTAATCAAGTAGTATATTTTTGCATAGTAAATTTGGTGTTTTAACCATTTGTGCTGGCTTGATTTACCTGCTAGTTGGTGGTTACTTCCTGCCAATTTATGACCTCTTGAAAACTTTCTATTGTTTGTTGTTTTTATTACCTCCTTCCCAAGAATTAAGGAGCAGAAATCAGTGTTTCGGAGCTCCATCTAAATTCCTGATGCACCCCTGCTAGTCCAACACATTGACTGCTTGTTGGTGTTATCGTTAAACCCACTGGCAAATGTGATTTATGCATTTGAAAATCATGATGATATTTGTTGTTCACAGGAGAATTCTATATAACACGGCATTCCAATCTCTCAGAAATCCATGTTGCTTTCCATCTCTGTGTGGATGACAACGTGAAATCAGGAAATATCACTGCTCGTGACCCTGCCATCATGGGCCTCCGGAACATTCTCAAAGTCTGCTGCACGCATGACATCACGACAATCAGTATCCCTCTCTTGTTGGTGCATGATATGTCAGAGGTGAGAAGATTCTGATCATTTTATGCATATGTTATTTAATCATCTACTTTATGTTTTAAATTCTCCCCTTTTTTTAGACTAATGAACTTTGCTTCTCCTGAGTGGTTAATAGAATTGAGTGACATAAAACAGTGAATAGCCAGCTGGGTGGTACACACCTGTGATCTCAGTACTCAGGAAGCTGAGGCAGGGGGATTGTTGTGGAGTTTGAGGCCAGCCTGAGCTACAGAGAGGTGCTGTGTTAAAAAACAAAGCAACGACAATGAAAAAGTGAATAATCCTTAACTACTCATGTGTACAGAATTATAGTATTATCCTATAATGAAGTACACAAGAAGCCCAATTAGTTTTAGTTTTGGGTGACATACCTGACTTTGTCATCTTCTGCCTCCCTCCAGTTCTTCCTTCTTCTCCATTGTCAGCTTATGTAGCATTTACCTCCACACTCCTACTTAGCTTAGGCTAATATTAAAATGAGTTTGCAATCTGTGAGTGTGCATTATTTAGTGATGGAAATACAGAATTGACTTCTACAGTTAAGATGTGGTTAATCACTCATTATTTTGTTATATACTGTGATTATTTGATATTTTTAATTTTAAATATCTTTTAGTGACTGTTTCCTTCCTTTCTTCACTCAGCCATATAAAAGCTGGTTAGAGAGCATAAGTTGTAAAAATAATACAGAGACTAAAATTCAGCTTCAACACTCCTGGAAGAACAAAGGAGCCTCAATTCAAATGGGTGCAAATGTGTCCTTCTGGTCAGTTGGATGATGAGGGGCCCTTACCAGTATGGACATGGTTACTGGCACCTCTGGGCATGGTTGTTTTGAGGACATGTTTTAGAAAACAAAATTGACTACTCCTGGGCACGGTGGTACATGCCTGTAATCCCAGCACTCAGGAGGCTGAGGCAGGAGTCCAGCTAGCCTGGACTCCATAGTGAGACCTGTCTCAAAGAAAAAAAATGACAACTGCTGAGTATAGACTGTGCTAAGTGCAGAAAGGAAATTTGATCTTTGATTATTAAGGTATTTACCAAAGTAAACCCTATATAAATTCTATGTCATAGAGGGCAGAATAAAAGATTTAATGTATTACATTTTAGCTAAGTTCCAACATACATCTACTATATTACAAGACTACTAATGTACCCAATTCAGTACCCAAGCAGTTCTACCTGAGATGGGCTGATTTTAAAATTTTTCCTACTTGTGATCTGGTCTGGTGAATTCACCAGTCACGTTATTGTTTGGGTTAGAATTCTGGCACCATCCTTTCCCCATTCTCTACTCCACTAGCTTCTATGACCTCACTCATACCTAAGAGCATCAAGAGAGATGGACAGACATCTTTTTCTCTTTGTTTCCACTGTAGCTTTACTGTTTTCATTCTGTCAGAAATGTTTAACTGTTGTGAAGTTATTGTCACCAACTGGTCCATCTATAAAAGGGTCTTGAGGAATAACATTTATGATGAATTCCTGCCTCAAGGAAACATCCAGACATTCCTGCAGCTGGACTCCTGGTTAACCAGTTTATAAAAATGGTTGTATGTAGGTGGAAAACAACCTCAAAAGCAGTGTTTCCAAAAGTCACCAGGTTCGGATTTACTTCCAGACACCTGATACTACTAGTAGTCCTCCCACAGTGTCACAAAAGTTACATGTTTTAAATTGGGACAGCCAGCTGCAGAACATTAAGTTTGTTTTGGAAGTGTCCGTTTTAATTCACAAAAGTATATTGAGCTATGATCCTCCCATTTGTTGTATTTTAACATCCACTCAAGGTCAAGAAGTTTATTCTACAAACTCAGATGACATCACACAGGATGTAGAGATAATGTGTGTTTTAGTCTTTGTGCAAGAATCTCAGAGCACTTGCAGGTGTTGTTTTCTCCTCAGAGTTTCTAACAGTTGCTATGTGTTAATGTACAACATCTATCTATGACAGGTAAAAAAGCTGTAGAATTACTTGTAGCTTAAGAAGAAAAGGCAAAATAACCTGTCAGCAAGGAGAAAGACACACCTTCTTATCTCTATAGATCTTTATGATCTGAAGGTATTGTTGTATTGAACTCAATCTTACTTAACATTTAAATGCATCTGCCAGTCAAGAATCCTTAGTTCTTTATTTGTAAATATTTACTGTTAATTTGTGGAATAGCTTCAAGCTTAATTATTTTAGCTTTATAGTTATTATTAATGAAATTGTTTGCTTTTAGCTTTTCATTGAAATATAATATACTAGGATAAAGTACACATAAGTATTCAGCTCAGATTTTCACACACTGAACACCTGTGTCACCAGTACCCAGATTATGAAACAAAACCCACTTTATACTCTCTTCCAGTTACTTAGATCACTTCATCTACAAGAGTATCCCAGAATTTAGACTCAAAAGCATCATTTTGTAGATGATCCTATATCTGTCTTCTTTCATTTGTATTGTTTGTGAAATATAGCCAAGTAGTTATTTGTAGTTGTGACTTGTTCATTCTCTTTGTTTTATCCTAGCATGTGACTGAACCACAATAATTTGGCCTTTTTACTATTTAATGGACTTTTGATAGCTTCTAAATTTTGGTTATTATGACTAGTATCAGTAGGAACATTCTCATACATAATTTTTGATGTTTCTGCTTCAATATATGTAAGAATAAAATTCTTAGATCTCAGGATAGGTTTATGTGTAGCTTTAATGAAGACAGCCAAATTGTTTTGTAAAATGATTGAAAATACCATGTTTTTTAATGTGAAAAATAAGAAACAAATCTAGACTTCCCTTCTGATAATGGCTTTGAAACTTATTAATACTGTTTTAAATGCCTCAGAAGCTCATACATGAGGTGCAAAGAATAATTTTGCAGTCTTCCCCTCTGGTACATAAACAAAGAAAATAATTCTTATACCTAACATTTAAGACATAGCAGTGAAGACTTACAAATACCTACTAATGCCATAGTTCAATCTTAGCACAGTCTAGAGTCTTCACATAATTTTGAAGAATCACACATTAATTTTAGCTAGAACATAGCATGTCACTAGTAATCATCATGGAGATTTTAATTTCAGTTTTCCATTTTAAAGTCTGTACTGTGTGCAGTGTCCATTGTCTTGGTTACTTTTTTCTTGTTGCTGAGATAAAATACCTGACACCCAAAATTAAGAAAGATTTATTTAGCTCACAGTTTGTGGAAATTTCAGTCCATAATCAGCTGGCTCCAAAGCAGGGTGGAATGGCACAGGGTCAACACTTCAAGGCAGCAGAGACAGCAAAAGCAGCAAGCAAAAGACAAGGAGAAAAAGCCTCTTTGCCTCCCTCATATTGTAAGCAGGCCACCATCCGCTATGGCGGGTATAGCACACTGTCTCTGTGCCCTCCTCTTACACAGATGAGGATGTTTACAAAGTGAGAGCCCTACCCCCCTGCTGAGTTGCTTCATTAAACTTCTAAACTTTTCAAGTTGACACACAACCATTACACCTGTGTATCATCTAAATATAGCACTGGGCCCCAATTTTCTGCCTCGGTTCTAAAATCAAAGGATCTTATATGACCCAGCTGGTTTCTTTATTAATGGGTATCTTTCATGGCACCTTCTTGAAAACACATCATTAAGATACAGTCACTTTGTCGCTACTTAGCCATATCCTTTCTGTAATTTATTGACTTCTAAAGCTTAGTTTACCTTTTCTAAATACCCAGAACTATTTTTTTTAACATACTGTTTTTAATCAGAGACAAAATGATAGAATAAAGAAACTGATGAACATCTACCTTAGTCTTGGGATTGGTCTCTGTATATGTGTATGAAAGATTTGAAAATAAATGTGAGTGTCCATGAGGGCAGACATGTACATATACATGCAGTTGTCTACCATTTCCTTCAGATTCGTATGTTGCAAAGCAGCATTGAATTAAAGTATGTATCTGAAAATTGAATTGATATTTGGAGTATCTATCACTTGAAAGTTGTGCTAGGTTCCTGATATGAATTGGTATTTCAGTATATTCTCTAAATAGCATTAATGAAACTTTGTCAGTAACTCACATCTTTCTGACAAGTGTGAATTCATTTGTCTCACAGATATTGCTGTGTTAACCACTCACATACAAAAATCCATGGCATTAATGGACAAAATGTGAAGATCACTGGATAAGTGGACAATCAAAGTACTTAGTTTCTCCCATCTACTTAGAGGAGTAATCAAGTCTTGTACCTAAGGACTTGATTATATTTTTCCTATATACCACTTCCATTCTAGCTTGTTCTGCAATCTTTCATTATTAATATCATTATCCTGATTTTAATGCTTTTGGTAGTATATATTTTATATGTTCAAGGCTGGCCCTTCAAAAGCTCGTGCTTATAATTTACATTAGTTGTCCTTGTTTAAGTAGTAATGCTTAGACTTGACCTTACCCTGAATTAACTAAAAGGCTAATCAAAGGTATTAGTGGATTACTATATACCTTTTAACACAGGTTACTATCAGATAATGATATATATAATGTGTGTGTATTTGTGCATGCTTTATTAAACTGTAGTAATGTTTGACTCTGGTTATTAATGTTGTATTTCAAAAAACAGGTTTGAGAGTAATATTTTAAAGTACTTTAACTACTGTTATATTTTAGTATTTATTCCTACATGTAATTCTTGAATAAAATACTTTACATGAGTGAAAGATAGATAGGCCCATAAGGAAATGAGAACCAGCAGAAACAACCAATCATAAAAAGAGTTACACAAAGACTTGAGGTAACAGAATTATGAGACACAGACCATAAAGTAGTTGATTACCATGTTTAAAGAATGCGTTACTATTCTTAGTAAAAATTTTTTTGCGTGTTTGGAAACAGTTATTTTTTGCTAAATTACTTACGTTACCATGTGACTGGCTAATCCTTGTTTTTCAAAGAAATTAATATTTTTCTAAGTTTTAACTTGATGAAGTAAATACCACAAAAAACAGTCCACATAAATGAAAACTCATTGGAGTCCTCAAAACTCTGAAACCTAAAAACCTGGAAATCATAATAAAATAATAATCATACTTTATGATATAGTTATGGGGAGTTTCTATATGAAATGGTAATGCTGGAAGTAGTAAAGTGAAACAATGTAAAGCAGCACACTCACTAATACTACTGTGGAAAATTGTGAGAAGTGTTTATCATGGTCTGAATAATGTCTGTGTGCCCATTTGGCTGAAGATTAGATGGGAACGTAGTAAAATGAAAGCATTTGAAATTTTTAAGTGGTAGAGATGGAATGCTTATTCCCATTAAACATGTTATACAATAGAAACATTTTATTTCATTGCTTATGCAAATATTGTGCAGTCTATAGTTGTCTTTAAAATTAGTGATGCAAAGGTTGTACAATTTTATTATGTTTTATTAGGTTTAATTATGTTTCATAGTCTTCTTTAGTTACATTTATCAAGTATAATTTAAGAGTCAGAAGTTGTATATCTGAAAACCAGAGGATATTCAGTTTGCATTAGCAAATAATTGTCTGAATATGTTTACAACATGGATAGTCAACACTATAGGCAAGTATAGGTCTGACTATATTTTTAATTTTACAAAATTCTGTTAAAATTATGATTTGTTTTGTTTCTGCTTTTAGGAAATGACTATACCCTGGTGCTTAAGAAGAGCTGAACTCGTGTTCAAGTGTGTCAAAGGTGAGTATTTAACAACCACCACCTATGTTTCTTCCTCAATATTGAAAGCAGAATAACCCAGTAGGAAGAATATAAATATACATCTGTCATCTGGTGCTCAGTTAATCAGATATTTTATAACAGACTGAATTTATCCGATCCAGTCACAAACAAGTCTTCAGCCCTCCTGAAAGGCATTCTGATTGTTCTCTTTGCTTTTTATTATACTAGAAAATAGAAAATGGAGACATAGTCAACTAACATTCAATGACTTGTTTTAGCTTCGTTGTATGAAGACCAACCCTATCGGACTTGAGAAATTATAAGTAAGAGAGTGTTAATAAAACTGTGTGAAAGTTTGGGCCTGGAAAACTAGGAATCATAAGATTTTGTGTCCTTTAGGCTCAGCCTTTTTCTTCAGGCAAGTGGCTACCTCAAAATCAGTACATAAGGCCCCATGACACAAATACAGCTTCTATCAGAGGTGACTGGGTAATTGGAAGTCCAAAGCTCATCCTGCAGCAAGTGTGTTGTTCTGTTTTAGGTTTCATGATGGAAATGGCTTCGTGGGATGGAGGAATTTCTAGGACCGTACAATTCCTGGTACCACAGGTGTGCTGCCTGAATAGATCTTACCCCAGTTGAATCTCTTACAGTATTCCTCATAGATGTAGCTAGGCATGCTACCGTAAATGCCTAGATATCATACAAAGTGTCAGTGGCTTCGTATTTTATATAGGGAGCAATATTTAAACATTGTAAAAGCACTTAATTATGAGAAGTATCAGTATCTACCACTCAAGGGATCTTTTATTTAACTCAACAAATAATTCATCTTCCCTTGGTTTGTTTCCACATTTATGTTATATATATATATATATATATAGCTAATGAAGTGTTCATAAGAAGGGCATTTGTTGGAAATGATTCTGTATTCTCTATAGAGTTTAGCAGAATTAATGGTATTTATTATTAGTTACATTAATGTTAGCTAAGAGTTTTCTAGTAATCACATTGATTGGCATAAAAAGCATAAGTAGTCAGAGGAATAAGCCCGAAAATAACCCAGTCCAGTAACCACAGAGTCAAATTAGTCATGAAAGGGAAATTTTATGTACTGTAACCCATATCTAGAATGAGATCTATATTTTAAAATCCTTCTAAAATTGAAAACAAATGAATGGTTTAACAGGTACAATTTTTTCTATCTCTTACAGAGTATTTCTGAAGAAATGTTTTATCAACTTAGTAACATGCTTCCCCAGATTTTCCGAGTATCTTCAACACTCACTCTGACGTCCAAGCACTAAATGCATATGGACTGACACACTGGCAGAAGAGGATCGTTAAACTCTCCAGGAACTCCAACTATGCTGGAGTCCTGTCAAGCAAAAGTTATCCAGAAAGAGAATCTGCGACCTAAGCCACAACTCAAATCATGATACGTGCCTGTTAAACATCCCAGAAATTATCCATGGAACAGAATGGTAGTGATCAGCCAGTGAAATGTTTATTCTTAAGCTCTTTCTGAATGTCTCTCTCTTTCTCCCTTTCCTATCAGTGAATGTCAGTGAACTAAAACATCCTGTTTATCCCTCGTGGACACTTGCTCTAGGATAGTGTTTACTATATTTCCGTCAACTTTTCCAAAAGACTTGACTCATAGAGCAGGTACGGACCTTTTGTAATCATACAAATAATAAAATCTGCCACTCCTTTGTTTGCCAAAGGATTATTTGCCAAATCAAAATTAAAAAGCACTGAAATAATCTTTGCAAGTATGGGTTTCTTATGAAAATCCTTTTGTAGAAACAAATAAATGAAACAAATGTGCTTATTCTTTCAAATTCTGCTTCAAGCCCTTGCTTTTCATCTACTCTTTCTAAGCTTGTTTAAGTTAGAGTCAGGAAAGGCTTTGAATTCTTTGCCTCTGTCTCATCTTCCCTGTATGACCTTGCCTAGTCTATTAATAACCTTCCACAGTCTGGGAAATAGTGTGCTTTTTTGCGAGCCCGATGTGAAGTTACTTTAAACCTGTACCTGTAGCTGATGGTTGTGGCAGTCCCACAATTCGGATCATTTTTATTTCTCAGTCTTCCCTGCATTCTTGGCTTACATAACCGTTCTTCTGCCCCTTGTATTTCTCTACAGATGACTCCGTCCCCATTTCTCTCTCTGCTGTTACCCTTTTCCATTATCTTTCCCCAATGTGGCACATCATTTATTTATCCCATCTATAGCATCTTTGCCATGAGTACTGACTGTTACAAAGACAATCATTTCATCAAATCCAAGAAGTGTGGATATTACAGCTGTCCAGTAGAGTGCAGGGTCTTCTATGTCATGATCACAAGAAACAATAGCACTCCTAGTGTACCTAAATGTAAGAAACATGTCCAACTCTAAGGAAAACCCTAAGCAGGACACCCATTCTACCAGGACGTCTTAGACACTAAAACTTCCCAAGTTTTTTTGTCAGGGAGTCTGGTGGTTCTACCAGTAAGGTAGATATTTTGCCCTTATTATCTTCTGGGTGCCACTGTTCTCAGATTAATTCTAATGTAAAGTAGGATAAACAGGCAGAAACAGGGAATGATAGATCAGTGTCAGAGAGTGTTTTAGTTCTTAAATTCACAGATCAGTGTAGAACTGGGTGGAAGTGAGTATAGTGGGGTTAATAAAAACACTAGAAAAGAAGTCTTGAAATTCGTTCCATGGAATTCTGCAACTTTTCTAAGGTACATACAATCAAGAGCTGGATGAGCACACCCCAGTTTCAGAGTGCAGGAGCAAAGGTTCACAGAAGTTGGGTAAAATGCCACTGACTGACTCTTCTGCCACTGCAAGACTGTTTGTAAATTACATACTGATGGCTTTACCTTAAGAGTAGTTGAAGGTACTATGGGCCTGTGAAAGCAAGATAAGTTTATCAAGTATCCAGTTTTCACAAAGTACTGTATTATTGGATATACAGAAACAGCAAGATTGGAAAAAGCATGCTTATGATGTTACCACTGATCAAAACAAAACAAAAATCCCTACCAAACTGATTAACAAATAAGCCACTTAAATGGTGAGGATTTTAACCATTCAGTAATTAAGGAAATCAGTTTTTGTATTTAGGCCAGGCAGGATGACTGCTGAGTGTTTTAGGGTACTACTTGCAATGGTATGATTTCAGGCATGTTACGAAGAATGTGTTTGCTTTTTGTTGCTGTGACAGAATACCTATGATAATCACAGGGAAAATTTATTTTGGCTTAGTGTTTCATGGTCACCTGACCCTGTTGCTTTAGGCCTGTTGCATTGCATTATCCTGTGGTGGAAATGTGTGGCAGAGAAAGCTTATTCATCTCATGGCACCCAGGAAAAAGTGACAGGAGCTGGCGTCCCAACATCCCCAGTGATCTGATTTTCTCTCAACAGCCTGCCCCCTTAAGGGTTTCACCACCTTCCAATATGGCTGGCAGTTAAGCCTTTAATCCACTGGCCTTGGGAACCATTCCAGGTTCAAGGCCAGGCGGATCTAAAGAAGACACCTTAACAGTATAAGAAGATAAAGGGCAGTGAAGCATTGTGGGTGTAAGGTGCAGCGAAGAGCATTGACAAACAGTAAGTTGAGAGAAGCTCACTCCTGAGTCCTGAATGTCAGTGTTGTTTAGCACAACACTGATGACGAATGTGTCAACATAGTTTTCAGTTTATATAAACAGCTGGGTGTCCCAAAAACACCATAATGAGATCCTCAAAGCTTTACAAAAAAAAGGCATGCTTTGGCAAATTCAGTAGCATGGCTAGATACAAATCAAAACTCAAAAATCAATAGTCTTCCTGTACATAATAGCAAACACTGAGAGAAAAATCAGGGAAACAGCACCTTTCATGATAGCACCCAAAAAAATGAAATACCTAGGAATCAGTCTAACAAAGGATGTAAAAGACCTCTACATTGAAAAGTACAGTACTCTGAAAAAGGAGATTGAAAAGGATATTAGAAAATAGGTTGAGGATTTAGCTCAACAGCGTAAGTGCCTGTCTGGCAAGTGCAAGGTCATGAGTTTGATCCCTGATGCCAAAAAAAAAAAAAAAAAAAGAAAAAGAAGAAAATAGAGACAAATCCAGTGCTTTTGGGTAGGAAAAACCAATATAGTGAAAATGGCCGTATTTTTAAGGCTATTATACAGATGTAATGCAATCCCAATCAAAATTCCAATGGCCTATCTCACAGAATTGTAGAAAACAATCCTAAAATTCATCTGGAACCAGAAGAGACATAGAATAGCAAAGGCAAATCTGGGCAACAAAGGCAAGATGGGGCATCACAATCCCTGACTTGAAATTATAAAGTTACTGTGATAAAAACAGCATGGTACTGGAAAAAAAAAAAAAAAAAAAAAAAAAAAAAAAAAAAAAACCAGACTCAAATATCAATGAAACAGATTAGAAGATGCAGACACAACTCCAGACACGCTAAGCCACCCTATCTTTGACAAAGGGGCCAAACACATTCACTGTGACAGTCTCTTTAATAAATAGTGCTGGAGAAACTGTCTCTACACATGCCAGAGATTCACGTTTGACCCGTATCTTTTACCATGCATTATACTAAATTTGGAATGCATCAAAGATCTAAACATTAAACATTAAATCTGTTAGAAGATAGAGGACGTAAAATTCTTGAAGACATTGGTGTAGGCAAAGACTTTATGAACAAAATCCCAATTGCATAGAAACTATCACAAAGAATCAACAACTGGGATCTCATCTTACTGAAAAGCTTTTTCACAGCAAGAGTAAACACTAACAGGGTGAAGAGACAGCCCATAATATAGGAGAAAATGTTTGCCATCTGTTCCTCAGACAAAGGATTATTATCGAGAACATATAAAGAACTCAAAAAAGTCCTCCCAGATTTAAGACCCAATCCAAAAATGGGCACCTGAGATGAATACACACTTCTCAGATGAAGAAATACAAACAGCAAATAAATATATGAAAAAATGTTTAACATCACTGATCATTCAAGAGATGTAAATTAAAACAACTCTGAGATTCCGCCTCACCCTGGAAAGAATAGCTATTATCAAGAAATAAACGAATAACGAATGCTGGAGGGTTATAGGAAAAAAGGAACCCTTATCAACTGTTAGTAGGAGTGTAGACCGGTGCAACCACTGTGGAAATCAGTGTGGTGATTCCTCAAAAAATTAGGATTGGAGGTCCTATTTGACTCAGCTATTCTCCATTTGGGTATTTTCCCAGAGAAATTAAAAACATACCACAGTGATATATGTGCACCTGTGTTTATAGTAGCACAATCTGCAATAGCTATATCTTGGAAACAACCTAAATACCCATCGAGTGCACAAAGAAATGTGGTCTTTTATACAATGGAGTTCTACTCAGCCATAAGGAAAGATAAACTTGAGACCATATTCTTACGTGAAATAAATCAGATACACCATGTGTAAACATTGTATTGTCTCACTACTGTGAGAAGCTGAAAGAAATTGTATATATATATATAAAATAGTTATACTACTTATTTCTGAGTTCATTGAAGAGAAAGGTTTGTGCTAGTATTGTTCAGACAATTAAATGCAGATATTTTGAACTCTGAGTAACTGATTTTTAGATAACAGTATGCAATGTGTATACCATTGTTACCCCCTAATTATTGTATTTTGAAATTTTGGTTTTTTCTCTTTAAAATAACAGATTTTTAAGTTTTAGTTTAAAGAGGATAAAACAGAATAAAACCAATCAAAACAAACCAGGGTAAGTGATACAGGACTTGAAAACATTACAAAATCAAGAATAGTTAACCATAATGCCTTTTTATGTCTTCAAAATAGCTGCAGATAACTTCAGATAGAGTGAAAAACAACAGAATAGAATAGAAACAATAAAAACAAGACAATGAATGAAATAAAAGACTTCAAAACAAGCCAATAGTAAATCCAAAATTGCTACCATAATATATCTTACTATCTTTGAAATAGCTGCTCCTGCCATCGGATTTAACATAATCAAGGAAAACAAAAGGAAATAAAACTCAACCCAACAAAACAATGCAAATGATATAGGACTTCAAAACAAGATCGTAGGGAATTAACAATAGCTGCAACCCTTAGATTTCCCCCTAGGTGACACACTGCATATCACTATTCTCTGAACCTATAATCAGACCACTGGCCCTAGATCTACAACGTCAGTGAAACACCAAAGCACCATAGGCATCCAATTGATAGCCATCATCACAGCATGTGTTCCTCTAGATAAGCCTGTCACTTTGGGAAGCAGAGGAGGATTGGTACTTCTTGTTTGCCAGCCAGCACACCAGAAAGGGATGGGGATGGGGTCTGGCTGTTCCCAGTCCATCAGCGGCCCACACATGGTGCTAGTTCCCAGATGGCCTGCTTGCTGGTGTAGCCTTGTTCTCTCTCCCCCCAATCTGTGCATCAAAATAACATAGATTTGAAAAGGAAAAAAAAAGGTATATTTTAGAAATCAGGAAGAAGTGATGAATCTAAGCTGCCATTCTGTACTGCTCTTTCCTTCCCTTGTTTTGCCAAGAACGGTTATCACCTTGTCATGGTGCTAGAAGTGTAGGACCAGCTGTGCTCAGCATGACAGTGTGACTGAAATGGAAGAAATGCATGAACAAGTGTTTCAGTGGAAAGAGACTCACTTGCCTGGGAATTGGTGGGGCTCTTGTTGATACAGCATCATTTGTCATTTCAGCTGGACCCTGGCTATGCTCGCAAGAAGGAAAAATATTCAAGGACAGATGGCCTCACCGAAACCTTCCTGTTCTAGAGGACCAAAGGGAGAATCCACAAAACTG